CCTGAGTTGGGTGTCACTGATCTGAATTGGATCATCTGCCCCACCTGTCGACCAATCACAGTTGACAGGAAGAAGAAATATGCTAATTGGTCAGGCAGGGTTCACACATTCCCCTGGAGCCAGTCCTATGGGAGTCACGTGGAGTGCCTCCCAGTGTGCTTGGCTCCCCACTTTGACTACGGCCCCTAGGAAAGTGGCAGATGCCCATCTCAGGTGGTGGCATGCTTGTTTGTGGAAGGACAGCTGTTGCTTGCACCTCACTCTGTGCACACACTCCTTCCGAGGACTTGTCCAGCCATGCTCTGTGTGCAATGGGGCCACTGAGCTGGGAGCCATGTTGTGTCTGGTCCAAGGCCACTGGCTGAGCAATGGGTGGCAGAATGGGGACTCAGATCTCCTGGTTCCAAATATCCTTCCCTCCTACCCATCGTGGGGTCATAGTGAAGTTTCAGATCCCCACAGAGAGGCTCGAAGGTGGAGCAAGCCCTTTCCCCAGTGAATAGGGTTGGCTGGAGTTCTGGTTGTGGGGCCTCTGGTTGCTCAGAGGAAAACCGAGGTGCTAGTCAGGGGAGGAAGGCAGGCCATGTACCAGTGTCCACCCTGCACTCTGTTCCCACTTCCTCCAGCTTGTGAGACTGAGGCTTGGGGAAGGTGCTGAGCTTTGCCTGTGACACTCTGATCTTTTCTTCAGTGTAAATCTTGTCTCCCTGGTCACTCTGTGAGCTCCTTCATGGGGGACTTAGGTCTTTGGTTGCTCTTTGATTTCTCCTAGGTCCTGGGGCCCCAGGGAACACCCTGCAGGCTCTTTATTTACATGTGTGAGCCCTGTTAAGAGACTAGGAAGCCTATCCTAGACTTTTGAAGCCACTTCCTCTAGCTGAGAATGTTGGAATTCATGAGCTCTAAAGTTAGGAGCCATTCAGCAACATTTAAGTCCCAAGATGACTATGGGCAGGCATCATTGACAAATACTTAGGGCAGCCTCTCCCTATTTTTAGTTCAAATACTTATAGAACGACATCTGAGTGCACGCACGCCTACTGGCCCACAACTGGGAATCCCACAGCCCGATTCTGCCCAAATAAGGGTGGCAAAGAGTGCCAGTCCCCCATCGAGGGTGGACCCAACAGGTGGACAGCTCAGAGAGGCCTGGATGCTGGGGATGGGCTCTCAGCAGGTCAGATTCCAAGTGAGATGGGGCAAAGCTAGGCCGTGCTTTCAGCGCTCTCCAAAATAGCTCATCTCAGCTTGTGTAGAGCAGCCCTGCCATCTTCCTCCCCAGGAACTGGGGTGGCTGCCCTCCCATGTTTCTGGGGGTCCATAAGACAGAGGGCCATCCACTCTTGCAGAGGGCTCCTTGCTGTTGGGAGAGCCACTTACAGAGCAATCTGTGTGATGCATGCCTGAGATGGGAATAGCAGCTGTGAGGGGGCTGGAGCCCACTATTTTGTCAGGGAGGCACAGAGTACCAGGTCCACATGGGGCACCAGGGAGAAAGCAGAAACTCTAGAATCTAGAGCCCTTAGAGTGGCCTTGTGCAAATTAGGAAAAGCTCCCATGGTCAGTGGCTGATCTGACCACACATGGAAGCTACACAGGTGGAGGCTATGGAAAGCCCCTGCATCTCAGCAAGCCCTCTGGAGGTAGCCCTCTGCCTTCTGCTCTCTGCTTTAGGCAGCAGCAAGGGCTGTGTTCTGGCTCTCTGACCCTACACAGTGTGGACAGTTCAAGGGAGGCAGCCAGCCAGACTCGTGCAGTTGGTGGTAGCAGTCAGAGGGGGTCAAGCCAGATTTGGCCAGAACTTTGCCTATTATGGCCTCAGCAAATCTACAGGTTGGAAGGGGGCCTGCCCCACACAGCCCCACCTCAGCCCCGTGTGACTCTCCTGTGGGTGCCAAGCTTCCCCCTCCTTGCATGAGATCCCGGAGAATTCCTGCAGAGAAAGTGTAGTGCAGCACCTGCTGGTCCTTGTGGGCTTCCTCCTGGGGTCTCCCACAGATCTAAATGTAACCAAGGCACTCCAGAGACCTCTGGCTGTGATATCGAAGCAGGCCTGCTAGGGCCAGCCATCCTCCAGCTACTTTGCAGAGCCAGGGGACAACAGCCAGTGCTGGAGGCTTGCAGTGGGTCTACGGCCCAGGGGGCCCTCCCCAGCTCATGACCCTAGCAGGAAGCAGGGGCAGGGCCGGCCAGGCTGCTGTCCTGAGCATGCACCCTCACCCAAGGGCTCATGAGTGTGTGGAGTCACAGCTCCAAGCACAGGAGGGCTGCATGGAGGGATTTCCCTCCCTGAGGAGGGGAAAGGCTGCCGCCGAGTGGCCGAGGGGCTGGCTCGCAGGAAGGGCTGGGCCTTTGGCTGTTTTGAGTGCACAGCTGGGTTCTCCGCCCACGTTGGTCTCCCTGCAAGTGACTCAAGGTAGTGGTGGAGTTGGGGTGGTGGTGGGAATTCACTCAGTCCCAAAGTCAGACCCCAGAGAGGAGAGTCTCTTTGGGGTCAGGGATTAGGGGAAGCCTCACAGCTTGGAGGGGACACAGGATGAGACATAGAGAATGGTGTCTAAGGGACTGGCCTCTGTTGGGGGCTGAGCTGAGGCTCAGCCAGGGGTCCCAGCCACAGAAAGGGGCAGAAGGAGCCGAGGTTTCAGGGCAACACATTTGGGGAGTGAAGCCGATGAGGAAGGATGCGGGACAGCCTGGCGAGAATGGAAACTGTGATGCTGCTGGGGAGACCGAGGCCAGGATTGGGGCCTTTTGACGTTAGGGTTTTCTCCTCTTCCTTTCTCTTCCCTCCCGTTGATGGTCTGAGTGACTCAAGCACAGCCTGAGTGTGTCTCTTGAGCGTCTCTGTGTGTACCTCTCTGTATTTCTCGCCCTTTCTAACCTGTGTCCTTCCTTCCTCTCTGCTCGGATTTCATCTCAGGCTAGCATGAATTTTCCATGCCAATGCTGCAGATGAGAGCAATGCCTACCAAGGGAGGACCGGAGGGGGAATCAAGCAACATGCTAGCATGGCAGGGGGAGGGTGTGGGGTGAGGCTGCGGCTCAGGGGCCTGGCCCCACCCACTGAGGCCCTGCCCTCTGCTGTCCTCCTGCCTTCTGCCCAGTAAAGACAGAGAGAGATCAGAGGTGTCAGAAAGGGTCCCGTCCCAGGAAAGGGTGAGGACATAGCACACACAGCTCTGGGTTGGGAGCATTAATCTGGAAATGTGCTCCCACCCACTGCCTTCCATTGAATATAAACCTTTGCCCCATGTCCGGAATGATGTTCAACCTAGCTGGAGCAGCAGGACTGTTTTAAAGAAATGATAAGACAATGGAATGAAGCTGATTGGGGCTTCAGAGAACAGACAAAATCAGGGTCATATTGTGTGCGATGGTGTCTGTGTGTGTGAGCAGATGTGCTCACATGGGGCTTGTGATCTGTGGGAAAGAGAGAAGAGGTCATTGAATTTCCAAAAATATCTGTGATTAGAACAAAGCTGGGAAATTTTGCTTTAGAAAAAACTTGGGGAAGCTTTATCAGTCTACAAAGTTAGGCTGCCAGAAAAATTCTGAACTCTAGTAGGACAATCCCTCTCTCCACCAAACACACAAAGAGCAAAGCTGTCCCTTGCAGAACTCCAACCTACCATGCCACTCTGGGCATCACTGAATGTGGTCAGCAGACAGGGTTGGGTGGAGGATGTCTTTGCTATGATGCTTCCTCCATCATACCATCTGGTCTTTTCCAGTGAAGTCACCGGCTTCCCTTTGTGAGGAACAGGAGTGGTGGCACTCTCTCCTGCTTTTTCCTGGAAGTTTGAAAGTGAGACTCAGGCTTGGATCTCACCATTTGCCCATCCCCAGCCCAAGTCCATGCAGCCCCGCGGCTTGATGGTTTTGGTGGTGTTGTATCTGTTAGTTCCTTGGATTCATGTTCGCGTCTGCAGGCCTCCCTGGGCTCTCAGTGCAGACCTGCCGTTTCCCACTTCTCTTGGCACTTGGGTACATTAGCAAGACCACGATGCCTCCCATTCCTCATTTCGTGAATGGCAATAATAACAGTATTTATCTCACAGAGTTGTTGCTGTGAGTATTAAATATCTGTCTCAAAGTAAGTGGCCAATAAATGTGCACATTTCTCTCCAAGGACCTCACGTCTGAATCGCTCTTCTGCGGCCCTGTTTGTGAGCAGTGTCTCCTGTCTTAAGGTTTCAAGGCTTGGCTAGAAGAGTGAGGGACCCTTACAGCATGCTCTCTTTCCTTCTTTCCTTCCTTTTTTTTCCTTCCTTCCTTCCTTCCTTCCTTCCTTCCTTCCTTCCTTCCTTCCTTCCTTCCTTCCACCAACGTCTATTAATGCCTCCCGCGGGCCAAGCACTGCATCAAATGCTGGACACTGTACCATGCAGTCCAGGGTGAGACCAGCCAGAAGACGCATTGATGTGTTAATATGTGAGAAGCTTTTAGGATGGTGCCTGGCGCACACTAGTGCCATGTAAATGTTGCTACATATCGACATGGTCAGTTATGGCGGGCAAGCACCACAGCTGTGGAGCACACTGGGGTCAGCTCACTCAGGTCTGGGGAGTCAGGGAGGAAGTGGCATGGAGCCAACACCAGGTAAAGAAGGAGGGAAAGAAGATGGGGCCAGGCAGAGTGTGTGGCTCCAAGGCAGGAGATGCCCTGGCTGTGTGGGGAACTAGAAGCACCAAAGCCCTGCTGGATTAAGGAGGGCCTTGGGAGCCACAGGGGAGCCTGTGGAGCAAGCTTGGGTCAGAGTGCAGGTGTTGGAAACTGCTGAACAGCTGACTGAACTGCATTGGGTGGAGACGCGTTCCTGGTCTGAGTTTTGAGGGAGCTCTGATGTCTCAGCAAGGCTCCAAGATGCTCCATGGCAATTGGGAGCCCACCTCTGTGCTCCTGGGGTACCTGAGGCAGGCTTTCCCAGGCCTCTGAGACTGGGTGGCTAGGGCCACAGCCAGCTCTGTTCTAACCAGGCTCTGGGGTTTCTTTCTTTGCAGATGTAGGAGGAGCTCAAGTGCTGGCAACAGGCAAGCCCCCTGGGGCTGAAATCGGTAGGTGGCTGCCCATGTTATTCTGTGCACAGGGTCAGGGGCGGGAAGGAGACTCCCACAACACACAAGCAGAGGGCTGCAGTGCTGGAATTGGTTCCCTGCTGTCAGCATAGGAAAAGGGGCACCTCACCTCCAGGCCCACCCGAGTGGCTGACAGCTTTATTTTGGGGGGCAACACCTTGCATTAAAGCTCATCCACACAGGAGGCATGATACCTCAGGGCCAGAGATGCGTGACTCCAGCACCCACAGAGCCCTATCCTGCAACCATGGGCCCTGAAAGCACGCTCTGCCAGGCTCAGCCCTCATCGGTGCCTCCCTCCACCTGCGAGCTTCCAGCCTCTCTGCCCCTTAAGGGCCTCATATGCTGGCCAGGCTCAGTCTGCATGCCTCACCCTCTGAGAAGGCTCTGGATGCCCATGATTCCAAGCCAACCCAGCCTCTCCCGTCATGAGCTCCTTCCCTGCCCTCCCCAGCTGACTGCAGGCTCCTCAAAGGCCAGATAGGCCTTATCCATTCTCCTGCATTGCTCACCATAGAGCAGGCAATTAACACACACCCAATAGATGAGTGGATGAATTAACGAAGGGATCGGTGAGGAAGGGCTAGGAGGCTCAGGCGGCCAGAGAAATGAGCAACTCACCATTTGGGGCAGGTAGCCAGGTGAGCTTCAGGGAGCGTTGAAAGGTGGGAACAATTCCCACAGCTGAAGGAACCAGGGATGGTGCTTCTGAAGGAGGGGATGGGGTGCAGGCAGAGGCTGGGAGCAAAGTGACTCCTGGGAGAGTGGAAGGTGAGGCTGGCCTCAGCCAGTGGGAGATGGCGTGTTAAGGGCCACATGCGTGCTTTGGACCTCATCTGGAATGTAGAGGGAGCTGCAGGTGACTGAAACCCGGTGTTCAATTCCTTCCTGAGTTTCAGATTTCAAGTACGCCCTCATCGGGACTGCTGTGGGCATTGCTGTATCTGCCAGCTTCCTGGCCCTGAAGATCTGCATGATCAGGAGGCACTTATTTGACGACGACTCTTCCGACCTGAAAAGCACACCTGGAGGCCTCAATGGTGAGGGATGCGGTGCTCAGGCCTGGCTCTGCCCGACGAAGCCAGGCACCGAGGGCCACTCTGTGATGCTGGCTACAGCAAGAACGAACCCACAAGCGCAGAGCCCAACAGGCTGTAAAGGAAGGCAGTGACCTCTCCAGGTTTCTGTCTCTCTTACTATTTCTTTGCCTCTGTTTCTCTTTCTTCTGTCTTTCTCTCTCTGTCTATTTGTGTTCCTTTTTCTGTTTCTCTTTCCATCTCTCTGTCTTTCTGTGACTCTTTCCCTCTGTACCTTTCCTTTCTGTTGCTCTTGGCAGTCCTGAGAATCACATTTCCTGGAGAAAGGTGGGAGAGGAACTAAAATTGGCTTCACACAGAAATTTCTGTTCTCTCATCCAAATGATGAGATCAAATAAACCCAGTGCCAGGAGGCAGTGAGGTTGGTCGTAAGTGTGGGTGGATGGTGGGAGGTTCTGTTGACTGTGTGGGTCACGATGCATTTTTTTTCATAAATTGGGAAAGTCCTTCTCAAAACAGTACTGAGTAGCCCCTCAGATAGAAACTGAGCTGGCTGATGTGCACCCTGGCACAGTCCTCCGCCTCCTTGGCACCCAAAATGCAGTGTTGATTTGCATCCCTTCTCTCAGGGTATCACCCCCAAACTCATCCTCTGTTGTATTAGATGGCTCAGTGCAATGATGGTGCAGTTTTCCACGGGGTGCTTCTGGGGAGAACAGAGCCTCACTGTCTTTCTGGAAGATGTGATTATGATCCGTGAAGATAAACAGAAGGGGCTGGTCTGGGCCAGGAGAGGAGGAGGCTTCCCAAGATGCTGGGGTGTGCATCACCCGAGGGGCTTAATAGGCCATGGGAGTTTGCTTATCCTTGAGTTTGCTTATCCTTGTGTATCCCCACAAATAAAGGGAGGAAACAGCCTCTTCATCACATGGCAGCCAGGCCCCGGATCTCTCAAGGGCATCATGAATGAGAGGACCCAGGAGAGGGAGGTGAAAGTTCTAGGGAACGCTCTGCACCTCTTGTCACAGGACCCCCTTCCTAATGCCCGGCTTTCTCTGTTTAGACACCATCCCGCTAAAGAAGAGAGCCCCAAGGTAAGGTCACTGCCCACATAGTCAGGGAGGGGTATCGTGTTCTCTCCTGTCTTGGCCATGCCACTCCCTTGCCTGTCATCCCCAGCCTTCTCTGCATTCTGGCATGCTTTCTAGGTGACTAGAATGCACCTCATGGCACCCTCCTTACACTCTCTCCTCCTCTGGACGAGTGGGCAGGTGTCACAAGAGTGAGGGCCACAGGATACAGTCGTCAAAGGAACTAGGGCTCGCCTCTGCACAGCCTGGATTAGATCCTGTTCCACCTCCACTCAGACCCCTTCAGTGCATACCTCTGACACTCAGAATGAGGCCTCCAGCCCCTGTCACTTGGGAGGTCACATGTGGTTTGTTCCAGGTTTCCAGGCTTCTCTGCTGGCATCAAAGTACCCTGCTCTTCTGCACAGAGCCCATGTCCTCAGGGACGGTCCTGCCTCAGGACCTTTGTATTTGCTGTTTTCTGTCATTGGAATGCTCTTTGCCGGAAAGCTGCAAGCCTCACCTCTCTTTTCATTCAAATCCCTGCTTCAGTGTCACCACTACATCATAGAGGGCCTATTTAAAGTACAATCCCCTCTCGACTCCAGCCACCATTCTCTTCTCTTTGCTTGGCTTCAGTTTTCTTTAGAATTCTCTGCACTAGTTGATGCTATATGATATATTGATTTGTCTATTTTGTATGGATTTCTTTCTAAAATGTAAGCTCCGGGCAGGTAGGGTCTTCCTTTTCACTTCTGTAGCCCAGCACTTAGCACAGTGCCAGGGACAAAGTGGATACTTGCATATGTGTTGAATGAATGAATAAATAAATGAACATGAGGCCATGGGCTAGGTGCTGGGGGTCAAGGAGAGAGAAGTAGGACAATCTCCTTCAGTCTACAGGGGAGACAGGCAGGTCTCAGGTGGTGGCTGCACAGTGAGGGTGGGAGTCCCGGGAGGGCTATGGCAGGCTATGTGTGTGTTGCCTTGTGTCTTGGGGGTGCAGAGGGCTGCATAGCCACTAGGAGGTGCAGGGGAGCCTCAGGTTACATGCGGAAGGACTAAGAGAAGCTCAAGAAGGCAGAGGGAACCCTAGCATATGTAAGCATCATGGGTAAAACCTGCAGCTGACAAACATGCCATGTGGCAGAAGTAAGTGTTTCATGTGACGATGTGGAAGGAAGGGCTGGAGAGATAAGTAGTTTCTACGCATGTACAGTCAGAGGAGCTGGTGCTAAGCAATGGAGTCTGAAATCTATCCTGAAACTTCTGGTCGCCTACTGATGGATTCTAAGCAGGGGAGGGATAGAATAATTTTTTGTTATCTGGTAGCATGGAGGAGGGCCCAGCTGCAGCCAGGGAGATGTGTTGGAAGCCCGGACAAAGACACAGGCCTGGTGCAAAGCCCTGCTGGAGTAAGTCCGGGTGGAGGCAATGGAGAAAATAAAAGATGGGAACAAAGCTAAGGAAGAGCTGGCCCAGGGACCTGGGATGAAGGACTGAGACAGCCACTGGAGGAGAGAAAAGAATCTAGAACAGCTCAGAGTTTTCTCTGAGCTGGTGCCCTTTGGGAAGTTGGTGGGGAGCAGCTTTGGGCAGTGAGCTGATTGAGATGATATTTTTTTTTTAACATGGTGAACCGAAGGTTTCTGGACACTTCCACGTAGAGGAGATGTCTAGTAAGTGGCTGGCATTTAGGACAGAGGCCTGGGCTGACACAGGGATAATGGCTTTTAGAAAGTACCCAGAGCCCAGTCTCACCCTCCAGTTCTTCCATGGGACCTGGGACTGGGTAACTTCCAAGCAGTGTCTATTGAAGGAGCAGATGGATTAATGGCTGCATGAGGGATGAACGCATGGTGCACTGTGGCTGCAGGTCATCACTCATCAGCCCTCATGGAGTCATGCCCTTGGGATGAGCTGGACATGGATTGTCTTGAGAAGTTCATTTTTTTTTTTTTTTTTTTTTGTGAGGATTTCTCCTCCCTCAGATATTGTAGTTTTCAGCAGTGGTTTCTGATTGCGAAGCATTAAAGCAAGTTTCATCAACTCTGTCTCCCAGCATTCCATCTCTCCTTCTGTTTCTGACTCTCACTCTCCTTCTCTCTGTCCCCTCCCATGTCATCCCCCCGACCCCAAGTTTGTGTCAGTCCACTGGGTCCTGGGCTGGAGAAAACAGGGGATATAACTTATCATCCAAGACAGGACTGTGTGAGAGTGAGAAGAGACTCTGTAAAAGTTACACCAGGATGATGGGTGTGAGCCTGGACTGTCCTAGGGAAACAGATGTATGGTCAACTTAGGTTGAGTGGGCCTGTGAAGTCTCCAGGACCTGGTGGCCACACAGCACTCCTCTTGCTGGCCATGTCACATTCTGTGCACTCAGGGCATGTAACCAGCTTGAGTGGGTTTTGGAAATGTGTGGTGGAATTGGAGATATTTCAGGTTGAGGGACCAGAGATGCCATGTGTCCCATTTCTCTCTCTCTCTCTCTCTCTCCTGTCTCTCTCTCTCTCTCTCACACACACACACACACACACACACACATTCACACACACCCAGACCCACATTAGCTGAAGTTGTCACATTCCTTTTTATAGAAGAAACATGCCGAACAGCTCCCAGTGCCCCCAAATCCACTGATGCGGGAGAGTGGAGTTCCGTGCTGGCCACCTCTTCACACCCCTCCCTTCCCTTCACCCTAAGAGGCTTTCACCCTGGGGCAGCTCTGTGTTCTTCTAGCTCTAGGGGGGTTGGCACAATCACAGGTTCTCCTGAGCATGCAGCTGTAGCACCTGGCCAGGAGGGTGTCCCAGTCCCCACTGACCCAAGGGCAGCACTCGGATGACTGTGGGTTGGGCGCTGAGTCAGCCTCTCCTACCGTGGAATCAGGGTGGACTGGCCATAATAAGAGTTTTCACACAGGGCTCTTGGAGGACATGAGGAGGCTAGATTGAGTCTGGAAGGGCAAGAAGGATTGACTCCCTAGAACCTTTGTTGCCTTTGTGGGTCCAGGTAGCCTCTGTGGTGAGGAGTACAGGAGGAGTCTCTTTTGAATGGATGGGCTGTGTTGGCCACGGCGAAGACTCTGGCACCACATGGCCTCAGGGGCCCTCTGTTGGGTGCTTAGGTACCCAGGCGGAGGACACAGGCTGCTGTGGCCAGCTCAGGCCCTGTGGTTAGGAATATTGAAACGTGTGGGGATTCTAGCCCAGTGACCTTCTCACCACAGGGAGGGCTCTAAAGTGCTGGAGCTCCACCCAGCACAGGGACGCTACCTTGACCATCCGAACTCCTGGCACACATTGACGGGGACTTTGAGTTAAGGCACTTTGCTTTGCAAATCGCCAGACCTTGAACCAGACCATGCTTCAGGGACATCTTAGCCGTGGACTTGACATAGAATGAAATTCCACAAAACCTGATCCTTAATCCTGTTGTATGTGTGTGCACACATATGTGTGTGTGTGCATGTAGTGCCTGTGTATATGTGTGTGTATGTGCGTGTAGCCATTCATGATGGACTCTGACACACATACGTCTGTGTGGGAAGATGCTGCTGTGAGCAATACAACACAGACCCATTTGAAAACACTGCTGAATGAGCAGTTACTGTGCTTTTTATGTTCTTTTGCATGATCATCTAAGAAGAGCATCTCTGTTATATGTGTTTTTTGGAAGTTCTGGGTTATTTTGAGCCATCAGGGCTATAGAAGGCATTTTTCATAATCCAGGAAAGATGGCTCCAATAGTTATTCAACAATGAACTTTTTGAAAGCAAAGTTCATGAAAAAACACGAAGGGATGCTAGAGGAAGCAGGTGGGTGAGGGAGGCAAGAAATAAAGGCCAGGAGAGAGCAGGGCTGGGAAGCAATGGCTGGATGGGAGTTCATGCCCCTGATAATACATTGCCCTCACCACGTACAGGGAGCTGTTCTTGGCAGGTATCGTAACAGAGCTCCTCTGCAAATAGAGGGACTTTCAGAGAGAAGCAGGATTCGAGTTTCCAAAACTAACACTAGATGGAGTCAGGCTGAGTCATGAGGCAGTCAGACCCAAAAGAGCAAGCTAATGACAAGCAAGCCACTCTCCTGCAGCAAGCTTTGCACTGTCTTTCTGTCATCTAAGGCTTAGGCAATAAACATACTTTTATTTTCTTTTGCAGGAGAAACCACAATTTCTTCGAAAGGTGAGTTGTAAGAGTGATCACTTGTCTTAAAATGAGGACAGGCAGTCTCTGCCCTGTGGGGCTGCATGGGTTTTCGGCAAGGCCTCTCCCTCACCCTGGCCACGCGGGAGGGGCAATGATGGCCATGGCCAGGAGCCCTCATGCCAGGACAGCTGTGAGACCAGGAATCAGCATCACCTTGGGACGTGCTGGTACTTGGCAAGATTTAAAGTGAAGCTGTGGGGCATTTGCCCAGTTAGAGCTGAGAAAACAGAGTTTTAACAGGATAGGTAAGCTGTTTTTCATTCTCCAAGACCTATCCTATGATAGTGTCCAATCTAATAATTAGCCAATTTAGTCCATTTGGTGAAAAAAATTCCCAGACATCTCTTCGTGTCATTGTGCTATCAGTTTGGCTGGGTATTTGCATCTCAGTGCTGCTTTGGGGTCTTGGAGTGGACGAAGCCCGTATGTGGAGGGCCAGTCTGCAGAAGGGGACAGGATCTTGGACCCCTGATTGAATGAGCCTATGAATGAAGACTCCTAGGAATGAAGGCATCTTCACCAGGGTTTTGAGAATCATTATTTCACAATCCACCTTCCCCAGCTTTTTCCTCACTTCATGCGCCATGAATGTGCCAAACCCACTGAGAATTTGCTCCCTGTCTGACCAGCCCAGGATGGTCACACAGTCCTGGGGCGATCTCTTGATCTTTCTCTCACTCTCCTGCTTTATGAAAAAATTTCAAATCCAAAGAAAAGTTGAAAGAACGGGACAATCAAAATATATACACCGTTCACCTAGGGTCACTCATTGACATGGTGCCCCCTTTGCTTTATCTCTGTGAACATAAGCATTTTTGACTGATCTACTTGCAAATTAGTATAGATACCATGATATTTCACCCCTGAATACAGCACCATTGTGTCTCCTATTGTGTGTAATCACAATACAATGACCACTCCTAAGAAAATTAATGCTAATTTAATATCATCTATTATATAGTCCATATTTAAATTTCTCTGGTTATTTCAGAAGTATCTTTTATTGCTCTATTTTTTTGTGCTATTTTCCAATCCAGAAAAAATATTTGTATTTATTTTATCTTTTTTAAAGTCTCTTTCAGTGTTGAACAGCCCCTCTGCTTTTTATCTTTATGACATTGTTGATTGAGAAGTCCCTAAACCCCGTTGTCTTACACAATGTCCCATTTTCTGGATTTGTCTGATTGTTTTCTCCTGAGTGGATTCAGATTGAAGTTTTTGGTCGGAAATACCACAAGGTGATGTTGTGTACATTTCATTGTATTGCATCACTGTTGGTGATGCTTCGTTTGCTTGGTTAAGGGAGTGACCACTAGATTTCTATATTTGTGGAAATTAGAATTTTCCCCTCTGAAATGAATGAATAATACAAAGGGAGGCACTTTGACACTATGTGAATATCCCGACCCCCAACAATTCCTCACCTAATGATTTTAGTCTATTCATGATCCTGCTTGAAGCAGTTATTGCCATTGGTGATTACAAAATATTGACTTTCTGATTCCAGCATTTCTTCTATATCTAATAGCTGACATTCATCTAGAAGAAAGCCTTTTTATTCTATCTCCCCTTTCTCCTTTTTCTTTTGTTGAGGATTATTACTGTGAACTTCAATGCATTTTAATCCATTACCATCATGATTCTTTCTGATGCCCAAATTGTTGCAAGTTTGGCTTGTGCAAGTCACTTCTTGGGGGCCCCTGTGTCCTTCAGACAGAACCTCATTAGTCTTTGAGCACATGCTAGACTTCTGACAACACAACATCTGAGACTCACCTTGTCTTGTTCCCAAGAGTAGCACAAAGGTCTAATTTTCCCAAGGGTCCCTGTTTCTTTCTCTCTCTCTCTCTCTCTCTCTCTCTCTCTTTTATTTTATTTTATTTTATTTTAATTTTTACTATGGAATGATTTTTAGAAACTAAGATCTGGGCACAATGTGTGCTCAGGGCTACTGAGGTGTCATTGATTCTAGGCCCTTTCAATGGACAGAGTCAGGAAATGTGCATTTAAATTACAAACTCAGTATCATAAGATTTTTTCTAAGCTTTCCCTATTCCATATGTCTAGATTGCCTTCTCCAAAGTAAAAACCCTGCTTTTCAACCACATAATATTTTTACTCATTTTCTCTATTCTATAATACACACAAAATACCTCCAGAAATTAGAGCACTATACAGCGGTAGACCTGCTCTGTAAACTTGCACATTTCTTTGCAGTGGCTTTAGCCCTCTAGGTATGTACAGCCAGAGTATTGTGTTCAAATGAAATTAATTATATTCTCTGTGTGGTTATGTTATCAATTGGATCAGAAACATTTGTTTTAGTGTGTATTCTATTTTACTATTTCCTGTTTTAATCTTTTAAAATTTTAATTTACATAGTTTTGTAAACAGAGATACATGTGTGTCATGTACACGATTCAGAGATAAACTATATAAACAGATAAACTCGGAGAAGTGTTTCTTTTGTAACTTCACTCCACCGTGTTCCTACCTACTGCTTTGAAGTTGCCATTTTCAATAATTCCTGGTTTATTCTTTCTGTGATACTGTTACAAAAATATATTTAATTAAAAACACTTTTATATAGACACACATTTTTAAAAATAAAATTAGAAAATGTTTACATATAGATGTATACATCTGGGCATATATACTTTTTCCAGCACTTGGATGGTTTTATTACTTACTCAGATGTCTGATCCATTTGGCATTTATTCTGGTGTGTGGTGTGAGTTACAGATCCAATTTTGTTTTTTTCCCAAATGGCAACTGATTTATTCCAATACTATTTTTTAAATCCACCCTATTTCACCCGTGTTTCATTTGCCACTTTTATAATGTTCTAAATTTCTGTATGTACTAGGGTATTTCTAGACTTTATTCTCCATTGGCATTTGTGGTTATTCATGTGCTGAGGGCTTCCTAGAGAGGCTGAACCTAGAGAGGCTTCCGGATGTGCTCTACCTTCTGATGGGCCTGGTTCCCTCCACCCGCACACATTATGCTTCCTTTGCAGGGGATATTCTTGCTAGTTTATTCCAGCTATTCTTGCATATTTATTTTTCCGTATGAACTTCGGAATCAACTTCAGAATCTTTCCACAGAAACAGAAATCTTTCATGGTGTGGGGGCTGGGGGAGGTCCCAGTGGAGAGTTTTATGACGATTGCTTTGTGTTTTTGGCTACCAGGTTTTTGTATAGACCAAAGCAAATAAAGTAAAAATAACACACAGAAAAAAAGAAGCAAACATCTTGGTATTTAGATTGGGATTGCATTACATTTACATATTGAGTTAACAACGATTTACTTCTTTACGATGTTAAGTGGTTCTCCACGGAAAAGAGGTAATTTTTTTCATAAAAAGTTATCTGATTTTGTGTGTTACTGTTTTGTGTGTTTCAGGAGAGTTTTCAGATTTTACTCTTATAAGATTGTCATATATTTTGTTATATTTATTCATAAGTATTTTGCCTTTGCTGCTTTCAAAATAGAGTTTTTGTCATGATGTTGCCTACCAGGTCTTTGATTGTATTTTGATTTTGGGGGATTATGTTAACATTATAGGAGTTGCCTTGTTGCCTGCCAAATCCAAGGCAAACAAAACTTCATCCACTTTGATGATAAAAAGAGAAGTCATTCCTCGAGGTTAATAGGCATATTTTGGGAAACTTGTCACTTTCTGTAGTTGGTGAATTTGCACAGATCTGTACAGATCTGGGCAAATGCTAAAAGGAACAAGGTAGATAGACCTATGAGAATGGAACTGGAAAATAATGCCTTCACATCTGAACTACAAGCTGTTACAGAGGGTGAGAATGCTTGTTGAATTCTTTTATTATTTTTCTCTGTTTTCTCCTCTGTCCCTTGAGTTTTTGCGATATTATGTCATCTGCCAAAATATAGTTCTTCTTTCCCAATTGCTATGCCTCTAATTGTTTTCTCCTCTCCGATTGCATTGACTAAAAACACCAATGTTAAATAATAGTGGGAAAATTGTGCATACAACATGCCTCTGACAGACTTTGATGGGAAATCCACTAGTGGTGTCCATCAAGTAAGATGCTGGCTCTAGGGCTGAAGCACACATATCTTACCATGTTGAGGAGCATTCATCAGTTCCTATTTTACTGAGTTTTAAAAATCAGAAATGTGTGTTGGATTTTGCTAAAGATTTTTTTCAGTATTAGCAGGCATAAATGTATCCTAAAGAGATGAACCCTGGGGCTAACCAGAATGTATAGGCACCCTCATTATTAGTTTCACTTTTGTTGTTTTTTTTGTTCTTCTCTCCTTGTTGGTCTATGTGATTCTTGGAGGATGTGGTCAAAGATTTGGGTCTGTAGCCACTAAATTGTAGGGTATGCAACACTCTTGCTCTTTCTCATGATGCCAGCCTGGAGTACCATGCAGCCTAATTCACCTACTAGTCCAGCCAGCAGATGCTACCCCAGACTCTGCCAGCCTTACCTTGTTTTCTCCAGATTGTGCCTGGCTCTCTGGTGGCTGGTGACACACCCATCTGCAGAGGTATCGCTACCTGTCAGAGAGCAACTTCATCCATGAGGTAGCTCAGCAGTGTCCCTTCTTCTGTTCAGGGCAGCCAGGGGCGGGAGGAGGCTGCTCCCTTGGGCTGCCCATCCACTCTGAGTATTGGTATCTCAAGTGCGAACCTGGCTAACCCCAGCTTCTTTAGATCCCTTCCTTATCAACACCTGATGGGGCCTTTTAATGCAGGGCTTGTTAAAGACAGTAGGAAGGATGAACCCTCTGCTCAGCCTCTGGTCCTCTAAACCCCATGTTCCTCTGGACCTTCCATCTTTTAAAGGAGAAAGAAAACCCTGACGGCCTTTGAGGCCCTTGCATGGAATCCCTTCCTTTACTTTCCTCGCCACTTCCTCTTACCATATCTTGCTGGTTTCCAGTGTCTTTCTTGTCTTTAATGTTGGTTCTACTACCATCAAGCTCTATATCCCTGACCATGACCTGTGTCCTTGGTCCTCAAATAGGGGGTAGTCAAGTTTTTGTCCGTTTTGTCTGTCTGTTTTATGGCCTTTGATGTGGCTTGTCCCACATCTATCCCGCTTTCCTGCTGTTGCTGCCCCATCTCTCATGGGGAGATCTTAGCTGTCAGGAGATTGTGACTGAATATGCACAATGGAAAGTCATAAACAATTTCGCATCATTCAATGTAAACATATATACCATTCTATTATATTCCAGATGTCTATGTGAAACTACAGTGAGGGTGTGAATTTGGTCTTAACGCATGGAGGTATAAGTGAGTTCCTTAGAAGGGTCTGCGTCCTACTTTCAGCCCAAGTTCTGTTGTATCAGAGTCTGGTTTGTTGACTCGTCTTCTCTTCCATGTTCCCCTTTTTAGACACCTATGCCGTCCTTCCCTTCCATCAAAGCTGGTACACCAAGTATGGAGAAGTCTCACCCTCTGTAACAGCTTGCAGTTCAGATGTGAAGGCATTATTTTCCAGTTCCATTCTCATAGGTCTATCTACCTTGTTCCTGGTAGCATCTGCCCAGATCTATGCAAATTCACCAACTACAGAAAGCGACAAGTTTCCCAAAATATGCCTATTAACCTCGAGGAATGATTTCTCTTTTTGTCGTCAAAGTGGATGAAGTTTTGTTTGCCTTGGGTTTGGCAGGCAGAAAACAACTTCCAGGTTGAGCTCTCCCCTTTACCCAGAAGCCACTGGCCTTCAGGTTCCTTTCTATGTTGCACAAGGAAGTGTTCCACCTTGCAGGCTTTGCTGATGAGCTTTTTTACCTGTTTAATTGTGTGAGTTGCATGAACACATGCAATAATTAGAGCATAGTTGCCCTCTCAATAAGTTTTCCAGGTGGTTCTCTTCCTTTCCAGAGATGCACAGGTGATTGAGCTGTAGGTGAGCAGTGATGTGAAGAGGGATTCTAGCTCTGTGGACAGCGGCCCACGGTTAACGTCTCAGGATGTTCTGCATTCGAAAACCCAAGGCTGGTAATGAACTTTCACATGGACTGAATATTGGAGGTAAATAATAGAAGGAATAGACTATACAGTGCCTCTGTCCTGAAGGAAACTATCACGCCTCTTCTGGAAGAAGCGGACTGCACAGAGGAAGCCTTGAGTGCTTTAGCCTGCAGTAGGAAAAGGTGGACACCAAAAACTTCACCCTGTGTTGGAGCTGTTCATGCTTCCACGAGGGCATGGTGTCCATGTCCGTGAAACCTACTACAGAAAATGGCTCATGAAAAGGGGAATCGGACCCAACACACAGCTTCCTATGCACTGCCATCTTCTCATCAGTTAGGCAATACTTTGTAGAACGATTAGCTTCACCTCTTAGCTGCCAGAGGATCCCTTCTTAAAGATGAACTCTGTGAAGATTCGGGAGTCCTGAAACATGGGGTCTCCAGGATGGTCTCCAGCCCTATCGATGATGAACACTGGCCTTCTGGAGGGGAAATGGCAGGCTGGGCTGGTGTGGGAGGAAGGGCTTTGGCATTCATGGAATGGGCCTGCTGCTCTCAGACCTTCAAAGGACGGAACCAACAAAGGACCAAATAAGAAAGCAGATACTGTGCCTTGTAGAGGGCCATGAATGTCAGTTATTATTTTTTCTCCTTATATAAATTATTTTGTGGTTATTATTACAATGTGCATGGCTGTTGCATAAAAGACATGACTGGTGGAGGCTCAGGAAAGCCACGTCATTCTACAGTTGCCATCAGGCTAAGGCCCCATGAGCATTTCTCTCCCTTGTAATATTAACCCTGTGTTTCTGGGATCACATCACGGAATTTTCTTTGCTTTTCCACTTTCCAGGAAATCTTTTGGACTGGGCTGCCTTCTTCATGTGTGATGAAAGATGATCTGTATTTCAGAACAAAGTGCTGTGTTGTCATAATTTGCCTGACTCCCAGGGCGTCTCTTATGCAACTTGATAACGATGCTGTTCATTAGCAGCCTTTGTTAACTGATAACCAAGAGTGGTAACGTGATACTCATAAGCAATTTTCTGTGTGTAAGATAAAATAAACCATCTTGTATGGGATCTGCTAATTGATTTGCTTCCTTTAGCAGCATTTTAATTAAGACATCTGGTTTGTGAATGGCAGAAACACTTGTGAACTGAAGGTGAATGCTCCTGGACTCTCAGCCATCGTTTTACCTTCTGTACATACAGCAAAACCTTGGTGTTCTCTCCCCGACCCCACCTCATGACATATTTTCCTAACACCACCACTGCACTCTGGTTTGGTTTTAGCCCCACACAAAGTTTCCCAAGTGAAGAACAGAGAGAATTATGCTGAAGGCCAGCGTCCTCTCCTTGGGTCATAAAGGCCGACATCATATGGGAGGCCAGTGGGCAGGAGGCCCTGACATTGAGGTCTCCCTGGCTTACACTCCAAACCCAAGCTTAATATCTTCCTTCTAGATGGCCTTCTAGTCCTATTGGAAGCTCTCTGAAGCCCCCCTCGACAGCTCCTCTCCATAAGAGCAACTCCTGGGGACACAGGGTCCAATGGGCAGTAGCTCTTGGAAGTGACTGAAAGGAGTCCTAACAAGCCATTGGGTCTGCAGTGTAGCTTCTTGAGTCAGGGCCATTCCAGCATGGTTGCCTCACCCCATGGTTTGACAGTATACTAGCAGAGGCCAGAGTCTGGGCTAAGCCCCATCCTCCCAGCCTTGTAAGTTCTGGGACCCCAGGACACATACAGCTTCCCCCACCACAGCCCGCCAAGCATGGAGAACATCAGACCCAAATGGAAGGGGACAAATGGTTCTCAGATGTCAGGAGGAAGAGTCATCCTGCACAGGAAAGCAGGTCACAGATGGCTGCAGCCAGCCAGGATCTAATGAAGTGGCAGTGGTTTGGGGCCTCCAGGATTCAGTATGGGAAGGAGGGGAAGGTGAGATGGGAGAGGGTTAACTGGCAAGGTCAACAAATTAAAAATCATCTATATATGTATCAGTCTATATATCTGTAAATTAAGCGTGTTTACATTGAATCTATACAAATTAATACATAAACAATTAAATATGTGTATGTATGGGTGTCCTCCTCTGTGTGTTAAAAGTACACATATCATGCAATTTTAGGAAATAAATGCAGGTTTGGAGGAATTAATAAAACTCCTTTCTAAGCCGGCAGGGTTGCTTAGACAGAGGGAAGCTGAGCTGAACAGAACCTGAAGATGCAACCTTTTCATCATCAAAGTTGGGAAACAGCTGAGAGGCAGATGAGCTAGGCAGTTGGAAATAAAAATATCACTGCTATTGTGATTTTCAAATGAGTCACGGCATGCCAGCATCCCTCTGCATCCTCTAGAGTCCCTGCAGCATCCATGCTGCAGTCCAAGCAGGAAGTGAGCATGGCCCAGGTAAAGTGCTGGCAGCAAAGAGGCAGAGAATTGGGGGTGGGGGTGGGGGTTGGGATAGACCTTAGGGGAAGAGATGCCAAGACTTGCTGGTGGATCAATCTGTAAGGGAGGCAGAGGGAGTTCAGCACAACCCTAGGTTCGGGAGTCATTGGCTAGGATGTGGAGAGCCTGAGGAGCAATGGCCTTAGAGAGCTCTGCAACTGGGTCTTGGGTCTCCTAGGCTACTGGGGAGGCAAGGATGGGCTGCATTTGGAGAGAGTGAATCTCACCTTTCTACAGGTGTACAAACCTGCAAATCGGGGTTAAAAGCATGTGTCAACGATTATTCTAGAACGTGCTCTGGGATTTATGAGAGAAGATGGGGAGAGCCAGCTTGGAGGCTCCTTTCCCCTGAGATGGAGTGTGCAGGTTGGCTGCTTAGACAGAGAGAGGCTGAACTGGGCAGACCCGAAGATGCAGCCAGAAGGGGTAGTGGCCTGTGATAGGAAGTCCATACAGGGCCAGGTCCAGGCTATGACTGATTCTTTCCGTTCTAAGTCATTTGTCTTAATCTCAGATTTGTCAAATGAATTAATCATCCTTCAAAGAATATGATTTTTTATGAGTACATTATCATCAGATGACAAATAAATGGCACATCTCCCAGGCCGTGTATACAGATGCGGAGAAGTCACTCAGGCCTTGAATGTCCCAGCCCCCCTTAGCAGCATATCCTATGTCCCAGTGTTCACGGTCCTGGAATTTTAACGGACTCATGACTGTCTCTTCATTTGTGGCTCCGCTCTGTGCAGTACAGAGCAGTGGTAGACTACATGAGCTGTGTAACAAAATGCTGCTTTCTGAGCTGGATAAATTATTTAATGGTGCTATGCCTCAGTTTCTACATCTGTACAATAGGCTAATGGTTGTACCTGCTCCTATTTTTTGTGAGAATTAAATGAGTAACGTGTGTAAAGTTCTTAGCACACTGACATGTAGTCAGCACTTGGTAAACATGAGCTATTACTTCTCATCGGTTTCAGGCAACTTTTACACAATTCCAAAATTCAAAGAAGGTGAGATTATGGAAGTTTTTGTTTCATTCTTAATTTACATATGTATATGTATATGTATAGGTTTTTGTTTGTTTTTTTTTGAGACAGGGTCTCAGTCTGTCACCTGGCTGGAGTTCTTTTTCACAATCACGATTCACTGCACCCTTGACCTCCCCGGGCTCAGGTGATCCTCCCACTTCATCCATCTGACTCACTGAGACTACAGGCGTGTGCCACTAATTTTTGTATGTGTTGTAGAAACAGGGTTTTATCATGTGGCCTAGGCTGGTCTCGAACTCCTGTGCTCAAGCAACCCTCCTGTCCCAACCTCCCAAAGTGCTGGGATTACAGGCATGAGACACTGTGCCCAGCCTCGTTATATATTTTTAAATAAAGTTTTAATTTTAGAACAGTTTTAAACTCACCCAAAAGTTGAGAGCATAGTTGAGAGAGTTCTTGAATGCTCCACACCTGGCCTCCCCTGTTATTAACATCTTTCATTGGTATGGCACACTTGTCACAATTTAATGAGCCAATATTGATACATTATTATTGACTAAGATCTACACATTATTTGCATTTCCTGTTTTTATCTAGTATCCTTTTTCTGGTCTAAGACCCCATCCAGACCACCGCATGACATTTAGTCACAGCGTCGCCTTAGGCTCCTCTTGGTTGTGAAAATCTCTGAAACTTTCCTTGATTTTGACGACCTTGACAGTTTTGAAGAACTCTGGTCAGGCATTTTGTAGATTGGTCCTCACTAAAGTCTGTCTATTTTTCTCATGAAGATAAATTTCTTTTAAGCTAAGTTTAACATAAAATTGATTGTAATTATACAAACACCAAGTGTTCAATAATCTTTATTATTGCTCATAAAATTAGCCAGATAGCTGGCAAATCCCACTTAAGTTTGAACTGGGTAGGCTCAGTAAAGAGGAAAACTTTTGCTGTGTAAATAATGCAAAGCAGATGTTTCTAATGAGTGAGGGGCTGCTTTGGTTAGCATCACGCAATTACCATGTGCTTTAGGTAGCAACATAGTCTGGGCGAGCACCTGGGGCTCCGTGCAAGGCAGGGTAGATTGGACACTGCTGTCTTTCCTTATCAAGAGATCACCAGTTGCCTGTGCTCACTCTGCAGATAGGAGCTCCTGGTAGTGTGCTCTGAGCTCTCAGGAGAGGTGGATCAGAGCTGCTCATTATTTATCTTAGCAAAAAAGGAACCATAAGGAAGCTTTTACAATGTGGTTCTGATCTTTATCCTGTTTCCTGAGTTTAATTCAGGAGATGGCAACAAATTGTGAGTCAAGCACAACTGCTGACTAGCAGAAAAGAAATTGAAACCAGGTCCAAGAATCACCCCAAATATGTTCTGATGGGGTATTTGCAGCCAGCAGCAAGCGCTCTGCTACCGACTCACTCTGAGGGGCAGTATTTTGTGGACTTCTTCCCACAGCATCCAGAGGATGGGGCTGTGGATGGTGCTCCTCTCCCCTCTGTCAGCCTTCTGAGGTCTGCTCTCATTGATGGCTCCTGCCCCTCCTGTCAGGCCTTGACCTGGGGTCCTTCTGTCTGGATGGAAGTGGCACTGATGAACGTAAAGAAACAGTCGGTCTCAAAACAAAAATAAGACACAATGGAACAGGAGAAAACCTTCTCAGAGGATGGCGGCAAGCACCTGTTATACCCTATGGATACTTTACTTATGTAAATTATATCTGCACTCGTAGCCTAGCTTTTGTAGACACAGCTGCATGCACTCTACCAACCCACCATGATGGTCAGTGTGCCCCTTCATGGATGGAATCGTTCCTTCTCACAGTTAAGAGTGTGGACTGTAATCCAGCTGGCTAAGGTCTAATTCCTCCTGGCCTATTGCTTACTATCTGTGCATGACCCTTGACATGTGACTCAACTTCATCTTTGTTTTCTTATTTGTAATGACGATGATGGCCCTAGAGGGTTGCTGTGACCTCCCAAACAGTTATTGCACATAAAACACTTGGAGTAGTGTCCAAAATGTATAGGTGTTCTATAAATGTTCCCTCTTCTAAAGTACGGTATGAGACACAGTGGGAAAAAACACAGAAGACATAGATGTGGCCTTAACAGAGGAAAGCACAGGCAAACAGTGTAAGTGAGTGCTGCTTTTGAAGTGTGAACAGGGTGCTGTTTGATCCCAGGAAAAAGAGAAAATCACAGTGGCCAGCAGAGCAGCATCTCTGTCTGGACACAAAGGAGTTTGTTGGTCAGAAAAGCAGACAGGACATCTGGCACCTGGCAGGGTGTCTGGCACCTGGCATGACAATGCCTGGAGGCATGAAATCATGTGGCAAGCCGGGATGAGTAAGGACATTGCTGTGTGCAGTGCTGCGGCTGAGTAGAAGGAGGGTCAGGAAGTCTATGGGGACAAACAAGGTGCTCACGTGTTCAGTCATTTGGTTGTCTGGATTTTGTGAAATCAGTTTTCTCTTTCACAAAGCGAGTTGCAGAAAGACAATAGGCAATTCTGTGAAATGGAAGTTGTGAGATGCGGAGGGAAGATCCAGGAGTTCTAGTGCTCATTTAATAGGTGTTCTAGGAGGAGGGAGCAGACAGAGCAAAAAAAGGACAGATCAGACAAGAGAACACAATTTACCAGAGCTGCCAAAAGACACTAGACCTTGGCTTCGAAGGAAGGATCTGGTGAGTAATTGGCCCTTAAAAGAAAAGAAGTAGGTGAGCTCCACATTTATTTAGATCAACTCCTGACGACCCATTCCCGTTTATACTGCATACAGGACAAGAGAGTTGAAGCAGGATGTGACAATCTTACTGTGCTGGGAAGACAGAGGTTGGGGCTTGAAGCCATCACAGTGGCTAGAATTTAGGGGAGCAATCCCAGAAAGGAAGTACCTTTTGATTTTGGAAGAGACCCCAACCCTGCTTCAAAATTCCCCTTAAATTGATGGCTGACTCCTAAACTAGGCATGCACAGAGTGAAATGCCAAGGGGCTCAGTGGAAAACAACAGCTGGAAGGCTTAAAAAGAGCTGAGCAGAGATTTCAGCAGCTGTCCTGCCATTGAAAGACAAAGTTTGAAGTTTAAATCCTGCCAAAGTATTAATAGAAGGACTCAGTGTGACGCTTAATTGTATGTATCAACTTGGCTGGGCCACAGTGCCCAGATATTTGGTCGAACATTATTTTGGATGTGTCTGTGAGGGTGTTTGTGAATGAGATTCACATTTAAGTTGGTGGACTTTCAGTCCACCAGAATCTAAGAAAACATAGAACAAGCAGATTGTCCTCCATAACTTGGCTGGGATTCATCTAATTATTAGAAGGTACGGACAAAGCAAAGCCCGAGCAGGAGGACTTCTGCAGCCTGTGGCCTTCAGGCTGGAACTGCAACCTCAGCTCTTCCTGGGTCTCTAGCCTGCTGGCCCAAACTGCATGTTGTACTTGCCAACTTCATAATTGTGTGAGCGAATTCCTTAAAATAAACCTCTTTATACACACACACACACACACACACACACACACACACACACACACACACACACATCTTGTTGGTTCTGTTTCTCTGGAGAACCCTAATATACTTGGTAAGCACAGCTTGCTTCCCATGGAAACCAAGACTAGCGGTTGTGCTCTAGGACCAGAGACAGAACTGAAATAGACCCAGCCAACACAGCCTGAAACTAGGATTCTCTAGAATCAAGGTAACTTACCAGTGATGTCACTTGCCAGACTAATGATTTGTGCCCAGGCCTTAATTTTAAAGGTGACTGAAAGACCACACAGAGAGCTCATGTCATTGAAGGAATAATTTATTACAGTACTTATATTTCCTAAGAGAAGGGGACATACCATGTCCCATGAGACCACAGGGAGGAAGCACCAGGTTGGTCAAGAGGCAGAAAGAGCTAGAGAAAAGCATGGCCCAGAGCCTTTATTGAGCTTTCCATGGGAAAAGCAAGGCAACAAAGAGGAAGCAACTTAGTACTGGCTAGTGTGGATAGGGTTGGTGGGCTCTGGTCTCCAGTTGTCTGAGAGACTGGCCCTGGGTAATTTAGGGCAGGGCAAATACTGGCTTGTGTGAGAGTTAGGTAAAGAAGGTGGTTGGGGTACACACTCAGGATTAAGGAGAAAGTTTGGGATAAATTTTTTGTTTTTTTCAGAGATGGAGTCTCACTATGTCATCCAGGCTGCACCCAGGGTTCAAGCAATTCTCGTGCAGGTGCGTGCCACCACTCCCAGCTAATTTTTGTATTTTTAGTAGAGAGGGGGTTTCATCATGTTGGCCAGGCAGACCTCAAGTGATCCGCCTGCCTCAGCCTCCCAAAGTGCTGGGATTCGAGGTATGAGCCACCGTGCCCAGCCAGTGATAAGATGTTTCAGGCATGTAGGGAAATTGGACTGCAGGGCAGATATATACAACAGTAGCTGTTAGTTTGGCCCTGTAATTAATTGATGCTTAGTAGACAAATACAGAATCTAAGAAAACATAGAACAACTAAACATCAACACTCTTCAAAGGAAGATAACAGAATCCAGAGTTTCTATAATGTATCATCCACAATGTTTAAAGGAACAATACCAGGCAATCAAAGAAGCAGGAAAACATGACTCTTAACAAGAGAAAACAGACAATAGAAGTAAACCCCTGATAATCCAGATGCTGAAATCAGCAGTCAAGGACTTAAACAATTATTATAAATATATATATTTTTTCAGGTAAAATGAACAGAAAGGTGAATAGGCAAATGGAAAGTATAAAAGAGTCACATGGAATTATTAGACTTTAAAAATGCCATATCTAGCCCAGGTCTTTGCACTTGCTGTTTCTGCTAACTGGAAAGCTTTTTCTCCAGATTCTCAAATGACAGATCACTCTCTCCACTCAATGTTCTTCCCCAACATCATTCTGCTGGGAGACCTCCCCTGAGAACACTTCTTTAGTTGTATATTCACTTACCATGCTGTATTTATCATGAGGGCACTTATTGCCACTGGCATTATGTTACGTATTTATGCTTCTATCCATCTATTTTTTTTCATCCTCCACAGTGATGCCAGCTTCTTTGTCTTTTTCACTGTCAGGACAGTGCTGGGCAGAAAGTAGGTGCTTAGTAAACATTTGTTGCTATTCCATTAAAAATATCCAAATAGTATAAGCAACTATAAAAAATATTTTTATAGAAATAATTTGAACATCCAGATAAAATGCATTATTTTCTTCCCAAATTTAAATGACTATGTTTGCTCAAAAAGAAGTTGGGCCTGGATGTGGTGGCTCACACCTGTAATCCTAGCACTTTGGAAGGCCGAAGAGGGCAGATGACCTGAGGTCAGGAGTTTGAGACCAGCCTGGCCAACATAGTGAAACCCTGTCTCTACTAAAAATACAAAATTAGCTAGGCATGGTGGTGCACACCTGTAATCCTAGCTACTTGGGAAGCTGAGGCAGGAGAATCACTTGAACCCAGGAGGCAGAGGTTGCAGTGAGCTGAGATTGCACCACTGCACTCCAGCCTGGGCAACAAGAGCAAAACTCCGTCTCAAAAACAAAAACAAAAACAAACAAACAAACAAAAAAACCAAAAAACGATAAAAAGAGATTGGGAAACTAGTTAGGATAATTACCATAGGTAGTTAGTGCCTAAATCTTCATCACTGAATCTCTATCAATTCACTGTCCTGCTAACAGTCTAAAGCAATATGCTTTCCCACATGCTCACCAATGTTTTTTGCCTTTTAAACATTTTGCTATTTTTTTCTTAATTGAAATCATTTCCAGTGATTTACTCAGTCTTTTGTTGCATGCCATTTCTAGTTTTTTGTTACTGTAAAACACATGTAACAAAAATTCTTGTGTATATTATTTTGGCACAAACGTAAGAATTTTTCTAGGGGCAGATAGAATTTTTACTCCTAAAACTGCAGTTTGCATGTGGCATGCCCAGTGTAAAAGAAGTCTGAGCATTAGTGTTACTGGGGAGCCTGGTCTCCAGGGCTTCTGGAGCACTGACATTGGAATGGAAGCACATTCCTTTCTGGCCTCTTTGAGTTTACACCTCAGGTTTGGCTCTGATTGTGCCAAGCTGGTCTTGGAGACAGAGAGGTCAGAGCTGCTTCTGCTGCTTCTGTGGGTGAACTTGGTTGAGAGAGCCCCCAGATAGGAGAGCAACATGGACAGAATGAACTGTGAGACCAGAAAGGCAAACAGGGTAGCAAGGTGGTGAAAACAAGCTAAGATTAGAGATCAAAGCCAGCCCAGTGTCTGAGTGAAGTGAAGGTGGGGATGCTGCGACCACAGCCATAGGCACAGGCATATGTTAGGCTCAGGGGTCCGTGGGTGTTGAGAGAGTCAGCGGGGGAGAGCCAAGGTGCATTCATTGCTCTTCTCTTTCTTGGAAGTAGCTTGCTTAGAGATGGCTTTTATCCCCACTACCTGGGTGAACAGATATGGAACCAGCCTTCAATCAGGATAGGAATCTCTAGGAGCAACAGCAGGCACTGAATCCAGAAACTCTTAGCTCTCCATGGTGGTCATGGATCTACTATGGCTCAGCCCTGAGGAGTGAGCAAAGCTGTAGACAAACACATGCAGGGTTTTATGCCCCTGAACCCTAGGGCGCTCCTCCTAAAAAAAAAAGCCCAAGACCACTGACACCACTTCCTAGGGAAGGAATTGGGCAGAAAGGGGATCTGCCTTCAAAAAGAGTTTCCATAAGTTCCAAGGGAGTGAAGCTTTGTAGAAAGAAAATAATGTCCAAAGAGGGATTGTTTGGGGAAGTTTTGCCACTTAAAACCCTCAATAGCCCTTCAAGGAAAGACAGATTCCAGCCAGGAAGGGCATGAGATGATCTTAGGCAAGCTAAATGCACCTTCTTTCAGTGACTTTCTAAATGGGCATGGTAATGACTCACCCAACATTAGGGAAGAGATGGTAAAAAGGGGAGGAAGAAAAGAACAAAATCAGAGGGTGGTGACAGGAGGTGACTTTGACACCTGGAACCTGCAGGCGGGGGCAGGTCACATTCTCAGACATCACCTGGGGGCTCAAAGGGAGCCCCTCTTCCACTGCTCCATTCTGAGTGGGGAGCCTGTGCTGTCATCTGAAAGCCGTGAGGGAGAACATTGCAAGGTCATATTTAGGCCCAGGCCAGTTGAGAAAACTTGTGGGTGTACTGTAACTTCTAAGCTTCAGCGATTGTCCACAGAACCAGTGAGGCATTCTGTTGCCCAAAAGGAAACATCTCCTCAATTAATGATAATTTACAATATGTGCTTAGCATTTCCCTGGCACAGTTTGAAATAACCACTGTAGACCTGCATTCACCTTTGCAGGATGGAGACATGGTAATACCAAGTCTGGGCTCACACTGGTTCTTTATGGGGCTCTGCTGCTTAGAGGAATTGATGGATGGTGGTGGCTGGAAGAGCTGTGGGCTGGGGCAGGTGTCCTGGGCTGGGGAGGGCAGAGGGAGGCACTGGGAGGGCTCAGGTGGGAACGAATGAGGATCTGGCTTGCTGGGATGGAAAAAACCTGCACTCTGTAGATGGACATGGGCCTTTGGCTTCGACGCCTACTGCACAACTCAGCAGCTCTGTGACCTTTGAGCAAATTCACCCGGAAAATGGGAAAGAGGGGTTCAAAAATCATCTGCTTCAGGACTGTCATACTTGATGATGTAATGAAATTACCACCCCATTTAGAAAGTCACTGAAAGGGAACGGTTTAGCCTGCCTGTGGCAAGTCATGTCCATCCTGGCTGGAATCCATGTATTCTTGAAGGCATATGTGCTCTGCACCTGGTTGGTAGTAGGTAAATGCTGACTGTTTTCTGTTCTACAACCATGGGGCTAAGAAGACAGTTCTGGGTGGGCCATCCCTCCCAGCAGCTGGAACAGCTAATTCAGGTCTCAAGTGTCTGAAGCCTCAGTCGTACCCAACTTCCCCCAAAAGGGTTGGAATTCTTGGCCACACTCCCTGGGGCAGTCCCCATAGCTGGAGAGGCTGCCCTGGCCTCCCCCACAGACCCTCTCCAGCCAAGCCCGCTCCTAGAGTATCTCATCCTGAAGCCAGGCCTGGAGCTTGCTTGCCCAGCTGGCTTTGATCAGGCTCACTCTGAGCCACATGTCACTGTCTTCATCTGTTATCGTTTATGTTTCCTTGCAAACAAATGTCACATCTTTCCCAGGAGCCTCTTCTCAGCCAGTTAGGTTTTAACCTCTTGTGGTCAGAGGCAGGTTTCCACTCCTCAACCTAGCCCCTTTTCTGCACCCAGTGAACGGAATGCTCTGGGACCCAAAGGCTAATGTCCATTCAAGGGATCCAGGCTGAGAGACTTGTCCAGGGGACTGGCATGGAGCATCTTAGGACAGAGTGGCCAGGAGTCATGGGGCTTTGTAAAATCTTGCTGTGGGCCTATACATTTTTTTCCAGCCTCATTTAACCTTTAAATAAAGCCAGAAGTAATTTATTGCTTATTTGCTTACACAATTATCATAGAAACATATTAACAAAAGGATGGGAATCTCTTTTTCGTACAAAGAAATGTTTCTAAGGCTTGTCATGTAAAATTTCAGACTTTACATGTGTGTATGTATACATGCATGCATGTTCTAGGTTTTATATAACTGGGATTATTTGGTACATGCTTTTAATCATAATATTGTGAACAGATTTTCCCATGTGCTTTATTCACTACATTGCATTCCATTGTTTAGTTGTTCCATAATTTACTCAACCTAGGAGTTCTCAAACTCTAGCAGGCACCAGAATCAATCCAGGGAAGGCTGATTGAAACACAGATTACCAGGCCTCACTGCAGAGTTTCCCAACCAGCAGGTCTGCCTGCTGTGGGGACTGGGAATTTGCATCTGTAACAAGTTTCCAGGTGAGGATGATGCAACCAAACCAACTTAACCCAACCTCCACCTCAGGCACTTAGGTTGCCTCTGAGTTCACTCTCACACACAATGCTGTGTTGAACATGGCTGATGAAAACGGGATAAGAAAGGCACACTTTTAATTTATTAAGGGGTCAATTTCTAGAGGTAAGATTGTCAAGACAGATGGTACCATAGGTTTAAAGTTTTTGCTACCTATTGCCAGAACATTAGTTTCAATTTATTTTTCCAACAGGGGACACGAGTTCTTGACCTCATGTTGATTTAATTCTTGTTTTTCTAATGAGAAGTGCCCACTACATCTAGCTAATGTCACTGAGAAAGCTAGGTTCCCACTCTTAGAGCTGTGTGAACCCAGGAAGCCCCCTCATCTGTTTGAGGCTCAGTTTCTTCATTTATTAAAGGGGAAGGAACACTGCTTTGCCTGCCTGTCTGGGCTGTAGTGAGAACCATGAAATGATGGTGGAGCACCCTTCCTAAACTGCAACTTGTATTCTGAAAGATCAGAATAAACACTGCTGTATCAACTAAGACAGACACCAAGGTTAAGGAAACAAAGTTGCCTACAGGTTAGGGTTCAGGGCCTGGCTGGCATGGGTAGCGTCTATATTCCTATGGCTTCAAACTCCCTAACAATGGCACTATCAGACCCCTCCCAAGTCTGATTTACAACCCAGTCACTACAACTTTGATTGGGCAGAGGATGCCCTTACCAACATTCTTTCTTGATAAGCAATTGCAGAGCTTAAGCCATTTTCAGCAGCTTACAGAGGCTGTGCACAAATTGTCTTTGTGTCCTATGGTTCACCTTTTGTCTTAAAAAGCCAAATTCCACCTTCTTTTAATGCTGAAACCCTGCCCCAAAGTGAACATGGGATGTATGTGACATAGATGTTTACCCACTGTGCATGCACTTGACTCTCCTCATAAATATGTACAGCTTTCCCCCGCAAACCTGCTGCATACATAGGATACCAGTCTTGTGAGCCGTAAAACCCAAACTACCCTTCCCCTCTTTGAAGAGACAGCATCTTGGTACTTGCCAGACTGTCTCTTTACAGTTCACCAACTGCTATCACCAATAATGATCTCCTTTTCACTATTTAGTGATCCTGGTGGTCTTTTAGATGACAGACTCATGTACAGGTGGGAGGGTTCTGAGCATTTCCCCGACCGATTAATATGAAGCCCATATGGTGGGAACTGTTCTAGAAAGTTAGCATTATTGGGGAAAAGGTTGCTTGAGGGCTTATCTGCATAGCCACAACTGTTGGCTCAGGTCATCGCCTCTGGGAACCCCCAGTAGTGTAATGGTAAGTATTCAACCACTTGCTCCTGGTCGGGGAGGGGTAAGCCCTTGGTTTTAGCCTTTGCTTATTACCATGGGGTAAATACTCCCACCAAGACCTCTAACAAGCTGCCACTGTGTCTTAAAATATAGTAAAATAATTAGGAATTGGAGTGTTTGAGTTTTTATTACTTTCATGTTTAATATAATTTATTTAATTATAAGTTTATACTATTTTAAATTTTCATAATGGCTGTGTTTAACAACTGGCTTGCAAAGTTCTTGAAAGATTTAACAACTGGTTCTCATTAGCAAGTACCAGCTGGCCCCAGCACACTACTAGATGCCCCTCTTGGCCATAAATTCATTAAAAATGTAAGTCACTATGTCATTCTTGTGGAGGAAAGGTTACACTAGTTATATTGACTTTCATTTTTTACATGTGACTGAGGGCTACACATTGATAATCTGAGTTAGTTGGATTCCAAATGTTAGACACTGATATTTTAAAATAGTCCTAGGCTTCCCAAGGATTGAACTTTGGGGTCCTGCTAAGACATCTGGTGCTCACACCACGCAGCCAAACTCTCCAACACACATCTCCCGTCGAGACAGGCCTTGCAACATGGGGGAAGCAGGCTTTGTTTCCAGAAGCTCATCAATGAGGTCTTGAGAGATCGGTTTCCAGTTGCTGCTATTCTGCCTTTTAATTTTCTTAGTTTGGCTTTATTGTGATCGATTTAATTTGCTGTGGGTTGGGTGGTGGAACCTACTGTGTTGCTGCTCCTGATCGCATCACTGCCATTTGTGGCCTGAAATTTCCCAAGAAGCCAACTTGAATATGTGAATTCATTGCGGTTCAGATAAGAGCAATTTACACCGCTTTCACTAAGGCAGGTAAATAATAGAAAAAAATAACCTTTTGGTTTGTTTGGTGATATTTTACTGTAATGTATCATGACCTGTGAATTTGTGCTACATAAATAGCTTAATAGATGCTGTTTCCAATAAAGTAAGAAGCATTTGCTGAGTTATCTTCAAAACAGGAAATTATTTCAAAAACATGAATCAAAATTTAAATATGCAGATGCTTATAGTCCTGTCTTGCAAAAATAATTCATATTTTCTCCCTTCTCATTTTTGTCATATTTGTTGAATTCCTGGGAGCCAGGGTGGATTTGGGAGAGTTTCTGAGGAGAACTGCCTTTCCCTTAGAAGGGAGTCCCGGCTGACTGCCTGTTTCACACCATGGCTAGCAGGTCCCTTTCCTCCCTGGACATGGATGGCCATGGTGCTTGCTAGTCAGGTGGGAGCTACACTGCTCGGCCATCTCTGGCCACTCCCTGTTGTGCTGCGGGTATGCCACCTCAGTTCTGCTCCACTGAAGTTATTGCCTCTGAATGTGAGATAGCCACGTGAACATGCTGGTACTTGGAGCAGTGGAGGATTGTTTGAAACAGTCCTCCATATTAGAGCAAAGCTCACAGGCCTAGAGCAAATCTTACAGGCCTAGGGTGTGGTGTGTGTGTGTGTTTGTGTATTTGTGTGTGTTGGGGGTAGGGAGGTGTGGTGGGGGTGGCAGATGGGGTGTTGGAAACCAATGCCCCAGCCAATGTTCAGTCAGTCTCACTGCACTGCAGAGGGCATGACTGAATGGACTGCTTCCCCTCTGGCTGCTAAGCCTTGGCCTGGGGCCTTTCTTGGAAAGTTTCCTGTGGGAATTTGATATGGCCTGATCCAATCTTCCCAGAAGTTCTCCACCCTATGCATACTTTATTCCAGGAGGGCCAGGGATCCATTCAAGACTTTGGGTGTTGTGCGGGAGAAGGGACAGTTGCTGGCCTCCTCAGGACACTGGGATCATCCATTAAACAATTGCATCATCTCTCTGTAAGACAGGCTGGGAAGAAGTATCTTCAACCATGCCTTTGAAATAGCTATTCCAATTGTGGGGATTAAAATAAATCATCCCAGCTCTGCTCAGGAGTTATCTGTGAACGTATTTGCTGCTTTCCAGTCACAGACATCCATTAGTCTTGGATGTGGGCTAAAAGGAACATGGAATCAAGGACAGCACACTTTGACATCAACATGACTCACTGTTGGCCTCTGGGTCCTGGGGTCTCACCCTCACACACTTAGACATCAAGGTGACTCACTGCTGGCCTCTGGGTCCCAGAGGCTCACCCTCCAAGTCAGAGCTGTGGGCCATACTGCAGGAAAGTTGGCTCAGTAGAAGACAGGAATGGTTCCTGAGGGCTGTGTCCAGCGTGGCCTGTGGTCAGCCCATTTTGGACATAGAGGGAAGACCCCTTTCCCTAGAGCTCCCACCGTGGCTCTCCAAGAACACACACAGGACGTGGCCAGTGCTGGAATCCTGTGGGATTCTGGGCTCCTGAGTCACGTGCATGGCATCCAGCAAGGAGTCTTTCCTCTCAGCTGAAACTGCCCTTCCAAAGGAGTGTGCATTGGAAGAAGATGCTTCTGCATTCAGCAACCGTGTTGAACATTCACAGCCCTGCTGGGCCAGAGCTGAGCAAAATGCAGCAGGCTCTGGGCCAGGTGGGGCTCTGGAGCCTGGAGTACAGCCATGCCACACCTGAGGACCCAGCCCCAGGGACCGGCTCCCTCCTGCTTCCCTGATGAGAGGGAAGGCCTAGGCTATTTGTGTGGGCACCCTGAGGTGAAGGCCAAAACCCGAGACAGCGCCAAACAAACCCACCAAACGAGCAGCCTGTTATTATGTCTAAAGAAAAACAAAAGCAAAACTGCCTTTCCCATTTGCTTGGGGGAGCTGAAGAAGAGTCCTCCGGATTACATTTCCCTGTGCCTGAGCTGAGCCTTCTGTGGTCCACTGACTCACTTCTTTTAAAATAGTTACAAGAAGCAACAGAAAATGAACTCAAAAGATAGTACTTCCCTACTCCACTTCTCAGTTTGTCTGATAGCTTTTGGCACTTTCTCTGCAGCCCAAGCACAGGATGAGGTCATCCCTAAGCCCTGAGGACTGACCTTCCCAGGGAAAAATTCCCACTCTGAACACCACCAACCTCACTCCATGCAAACCTGCTGCGCAGCGTCCGGGCAGCTTCCCGCTTCTCCCTGGCCCTTGGGTGTTAAATCTGATAATAGGAGAACTTTGGGAGGGTGGTAAGGCACCTGCCCCACTAGAGCAGCCCCACTTTCGGTGTGGAGAGAAGAGCAGGAGCGGTGCCCACTTGCAACACCTTTACACAGTGGCTCTAGCCACAGAAGTGCCACGATTAAGACCGAAGCACCACCCCTTGGCAGGGTGGACGGACTATTTCTGGACTCCCAAGGACCCCAGAATGAATGATGCGATTCTCCCCACAGCCCAGATCGGGACGCAAGCCAAGCTCTGGAATTAGAAGTGAAGAGAGACACGGCCTCTCTGCTTCCTGCCGTGGCTGTGGCCGCTTTGTTTCCTGTTAGCCTCCTCAGCTGGGAAAAACAGAGGCTGGGAAGAGTAGGTTTTGGAAGAAAAGACTAGAAAATATTCCAGGCCTCTTGGATGAGGTTTAGGACTCGCATGCAATGTGTGCAACGAACTGGCCAGGAGTCAGAGCTCCAAGAAAGTGCTGCGTTGGTCCTTTTGGGGGTTTGCACACCAGCCCTGTTGGCTGCAGCAGTGAGGCGTGGAGGTTCCTGGCAAGGATGGAAAACCCACTGGAGAGCTGCAGGGGGATGGGTGGGAGCCATGTGTGGGTGGTCTCAGCTGAGTATCTGCATGGAGCAAGCAGAGCGGCTGGGGCAGAGGCTCTTCCCATAGATGGAAGCAGCCCAGAGGCCACGTGAGTGAGGAGGACAATCGCTCACCATCGGAGGGGCTTCACTCCAAACTAGCCCCAGGGAAGTAGCTCACAGGAAATATCAGAGCAACCTGGCCACGCAGCCCTGCCCCCAGGCCTGAGTTGGAGGCTGCTTCTCCCCTAGCTCTCCCACCCAAGGCTCATCGAACCCCTCTGAATTGCCAAGCTCCCTATCTCTAAGGGGAGTTCACAGTGTGTAATTTTTCAGAGGATTAGGAAGAACGTTTATAGATTGTGGGGAAAGAAAGACCTGACTCAGGGACTTTGGAAAACATTGGGCCCCAAATTGTAAAGCTTTTGTCTTTACAAAAGCAACTGTATGTAAACATTGCAATCTAGTAAATTGTTTCCTATGGGGTAAGGATGGGAACCATCCTCCCAAGTTGTCCTGGGAAAACCACAGGGCTCGCCTGGCCCCCAGGTTTCCCTGACTGGGCCAGGAAGATGCACAGAGCACAGATACTGGTCAACGAACTAGCTCATTAGAACATATTTACACATTATAGGGAAAATCAAAGTCCATTGAATTACCATGGCCTGTAACAAATTGCCCCAGAAACTAGTGTGTAAAACACCTTTTTTTACGCTCACAGTTTCTGTGGGTGGGGAATTCCAACAGTGCACAGAGGGGAGGGCTTGTCTCTGCCTTGTGATGTCTTGGACCCAGCTGGAAGACTTGATGTCTGGGAAGCAAAATTATCTGAAGGTGTCTTCACTCACACACTGGTGGTTGATTGAGACCTTTGCTGGGGCTGCTGCCTGGAATACATCTATGTGGCCCCTCCATGGGGCCTAGGCTTCCTCACAACATAGTGGCTTAGTCCAAAGGAGAGGGGAGACAGAACCAGGAGGAAATCACATCTTTTATGACTTGGCACTGACAGTCACAAAACATCACTCCTGTGCATTCTGTTGATAGAGGCAGTTACCAAATCCACCCTAGTTTAGGAAGAGGGACCCTGTCATGCTATCAGAAGAGCATGTGGGTTGTGATATAGACTGGTGTGGCCATGTTTGGAAAATTCGGTTTCACACAGCCCCACCTAATCTTTCTCCTCTTTCTTGAGGTCAATGTTGTTTTCTCTTGGGTGTGATTATTTTCAGATCTCCTCTGTGCCTTTTAATACCTAGACAATATAGATTTGGTCAGTGCTTTTGGGAGAGTGTGTTTAATTTTTACACAAGTGGGGCCATCTATGTATTCATGTATCTTGTGTTTTCATTTAACATGAATTCACTTATCAATATGTATAGATCTCTTTCTTTTTATTGTGGTGTAGTATTCCACAGTTCGGTTATGTTGTAGTTTGTTTATTTTGATGGATCTTAGGAGTGTCTCCTGTCTTTATTTCTATTATACACAATGCTGCAATAAATATTTCTCTAGGTGCTGTTTTATGCACATAGCACATAATGTGACTGTTCCCTAGGAAAGAGATGATAGATGATAGTAAACTGCCTAGGAAGCACCTGCCCACTTTTAATTTTAATGGATACCACCAAACTTTTTGAGAAAGGTAAGGTACACTGTTCCAATAGAGAATAAAAGTGTTCATTTCCTTATGTCCTCACCAGCACTGGGTATTGTCCATCTTTTTAACTCTTGCCTATCTCATGGGTGAAAAATGCTATACTGTATACCACACATTTTTAAGTTGTAGCTCCCTTATTACAGTGGGACTCAACATCTTCTTAAATGTTTATCAGCCATCTGTATTTCTTCCCCTGGAAACTGCTTGCTCATTTGCTTTTTTTTCCAGTTCCACTGAAAAGCAGAGGAATGCAAATTAAAACAGTGCATTTTTTAAAGCAGTGAAATTAGAAAAGATGACAAAGATTCTCAATGCTTGTGAAGATTAATATTGTTTAAGTTGAGAAAAACCACCTTGTAATTACAAATGTTAACATATTTTGTTTCTACACATTTTTCATTAAAACATAAGCTCTGAACCATTATGAAAATATTCTTAATTGTTTTACATGAAGTGAGACCAAAGTTGATTAAAAAAAATAGCAAATATAATTTTTCAGCTTCATTTGTTGGCTGAGTCTCCTTTCCTCTCAGACTTGCTGTTTACTTTGCTGCTTAACAGTTCTCCATGATGTCATCTCTCTCTGAACTGCCTTCCATCCCCCAATGACCTACTTATTTTCTGTGCTGGCTGCCTCCTCTTGTTTTTGTAAGTCAAGTCTTTGTATTTATTTGTTAAAAAAGGATGCACTTACACCATTTCCTCTTTTAGCCAGGGGACATAGTCTCCTGTTTAGGTCAGGTGTGACTTTCATGGCTCAGTAGAGCACCGTGGTGTCTTCCTCCACACAGTGGCCTCACATTCTAGAGAGGAGGATATTCCTAGGTGCTGGGTGTGTGTGGGGATATTGGTGTTGCTTGTGGAATACTGGGATTATTTTTAATCCATCACCTATTTGAACTGTTTAGTATTTGGGATTCAAAGGAATAGAGTTGATGAGATTGATCAAGGGTGGGAAAAGACTAGCCACAGAGAGAAGTGATAAGAAGCTTGTTGGAGGAAATGAGTGAAGTGCTAGGGTGTTACAGAGCAGAGAGATGGCAGGTGAACATTTTATCAGGCTGATTGAGGCTGAAGCATGGTTTGTGCAAATGGAGAAGTAAGAGGCAACTCCCAGAGTCCTAGTTGGAGAGAACCAGCCACCTTGGAACTGCAGAGATCCAGGGAACACAGAGGAGGCAGCTCCCAGAGGGAGTAACGCCTTTATCAGCCCAACGTGTTCATCAGCTGTTTACTCATTATTTCCTGAGTGTTTGTTAATATGTAAAACATTGTTCTAGCTACTAGAGATATAATGAGATGGAAGGAATGAAGGAAGTCCCTACCCTCCTAAGCTTACATCTAAGGAGGAGAAGACAGATACAGGTAAACCCATGAGCTACATACATAGACATTATATAGAGCCTAGGGTGGTAAATGCTATCATGGAAAAATAAAGCAGGGTAAGGTGACAGAGAGCTGTGGGGCCAAAGAAGGCTCTTTTCCTGGGGGTGCTAGGCAGGCCCCTCTGACCAGGTGATGTTTCAGAGGAGACCAGAAGGAGAGGGAACCATACAGGAACCTAGGGGAGAGCCTGGAACAGGCACAAGGAAGAGCAAGTGTGAGAGCCCAGAGCCCATGAAGGGAGGATGCCGGATGCATCCGGGAGCAGTGAAATGTCTGGAGTCACAGGAACTGAGCAAGGGAGTGAGTAGAGGAGAGTGGAGGGGTGGGGTTGTGGAGGGCTGAGGAGCCTAAACAAAGTCAGTGTGGGGGATTTGAGATACGGGAGAGAAGGAGAGGTTTTCCACATTGGGAAGCAAGGTCATTTGATGTTGGCTGATGACTGTATGTATGTGAGCCTATGTATGGTTAATTAATCTGGCATGAGTTTGTGTGCATGTATGTGTGTGTGGTTAAGTAAATACGTGTGTGAATTTGTATGTGTGAGCATGTTATGTGTCTATGTGAACACATGTACATATGTTTATGTTACTGTGTGTGCCACAAGTATTACAGTGTATATGTCTATCTGAGTGACCACGTATGTGTTTCTTTGTGTGTGAGTGACATAGTTTGGACATGTGTCCACTTCAAATCTCATGTTGAAATTTGATATCCAATGTGAGAGGTGGGCCTAGTGGGAGGTGTTTGGGTCACGGGGACAAATCCCTCATGAAGGGCTCAGTGCCATCCTCGTGGTAACGAGTTCTTAATCTTAGTTCCGTCAGAACGGAGTGTTGAAAAGAGTCTGCCACTTTCTCCACTCTCTCTTCCTTCCTCTCTTACCCATGTGATCTAAACAGACCTGCTCCCCTTCCCCATCTGCTGAGAATGGAAGCCTCCTAAGGCCCTCACCAGAAGCAGATGCTGGCACTACGCTTCGTGTACAGGCTGCAGAAACATGAGCCCAACACACTTCTTTCTTTCATAAATCACCCAGCCTCAGGTATCCCTTTGTAAGCCACACAAGCGGACTAAGTCAGCGGTTCCATGCATGCTTAAGTGTGTACAAGTGTCTCTGTGTCTCTGTGTGTGTGTTTTGATGTGTGTCTAAGTAGTTAAGAGTATGTGTGTTTTGTGTTTGTGCATGTCCATGATAATACACAAGACAGAAAAGGTCCCATGGGGAAATGAGAACATGTTGGGAAGTCTCTCCTGGTATCCAGGCGCAGCCTCTGCCCTTGCCATGGGTCACAGAACAGACCAGTGCCATCGATGAGGTCACACAGTAAAGCTAGGATCTTAGCGACCATGGGGAGCTCAGTGTCCACTCTGGCTGGGGCCAGCTGGAGGGCTTCAGTACAGCCCCAGCCAACTCTCATTGAACAGCTGGAGCACTGAGACCCTGGGCACTCATTTCAAATCATGAAACGCCACTTCACGGACCACAGGGGAGAACAGTCACCCACCGATGGGACCACTCTCAACTTGACCAGCCCTGAGTCCACTGAGGAGAGTGTGGAAGTGTTCTGGCCAGGTAGGTCAAAAGAAAGGCCTGGAAGGTCAGCCAGCTGTGCTCCCTGGGAAGGAAGCCCTGATGGGAAGGGACAGTGCCAGGTCGCCTCCTGATACTGTTATCAAATGGTTGTGTTGACCATAAACGTAGATGTGGAGGGAAAGGAAATTGATATTTATGGGACACTTGGTATGACTGGGGCTGTTGTGAGTATATAAGGTGTTTTCAGGGGATATGAGGATGAAAATGTAAAATATTTATAATTATGTATTTATTTTAATGTGTATTTGAGAAAATAACACGTCAAATTCAGCAGTGAAATAAAAAATTCCTTTATAACAAAATGATGAAAGTTAATCTAGATCATCAATTTGAAGACCACTGGGATGTGTCTGTGGGCAGCATCTAAGTGTCACACCAACTCTGGGGGCCCAATGGCTCCACCACTCATTCAAACTCCGTGCCTCTGTTTCCTACTCTGTTGAATGGAAATCCTAACAATATAATTTCTTAGGGTTGTTTTGAATATTAAAGGAGCTAACACTTGGCAAGCACTTCCATGGCGAGAGGGACACAGTAAGTGTTGAAGGAGATGGTGAGATGGGCCCCTCTGGGGAAGGTGAAGACAGGTGACAAATGTTGAAGAGGACGGTGGGTCTGGGTGGCTTGGCCACATTTAAAAAACATTGTTTTTTAAATGGGCTTTATTGAAGTGTCTTTTATGCACACAGACTCCAGCAATTTTAAATGCACAATTTAAAGAAGTTTGACACATGTACATTTGTGGAACCATCAACACAATCATGATAAAGAAGATTTTCAGAACTCCTAAAAGTCCCCTTGTGCCTTATTATGGTCAGTCTCCCCCTCGACCCATCCCCAGCTCTGGGCAACCACTGAGCTGTTCTCTGTTCCTAAAAATTTGCCTTTTCTAGAATGTCATCTGAATAAAATCATATACTACGTGGCCTCTTTTTTTCTTTTTGTTCACATTCTTTCATGACTACACAGCCTTTTTAATTGGCTTCTTTTATTTAGCATAATGCATTCAGGATTCATCTGTATTGTTGCATGTCTCAGTGGTTCATGGATTTAGCAGGTTGCATCATATGGATGCACCTCAGTCTGCTTACCTATTCCCCAGCGGATGGTCTTTTGCTTGGTGATTAATACATTATTTGATCCTTATCATCATATCCCTAATGTGTATATAACTGTTATTCACCATTTAATGGTCTTTCTCAGTTGAGTCAAGGATTTGGTGATTGCATTCATACATTATTCAATCATTACCGCACCCTATGAGGTAGGTATTATCACCATCTTCATTTTATCAGGATATGGGCAGAGGGGGTGGTGTTGGCCCAAGAGCTCCCAGAGCCTGTACCCTTTCAGAGTCTGCGGCTCCTGAAGGTAGATGTGGCATTGATCCCTTGGGGGGCACTGATGACAATGTCCTTCTGCTTCTCAGGGACTATACAGAGAGAAGGGTCATCCCCACGGCCACGGCCTGCCATTCCCCGGGAGGAGGGCCTCTACTTCTCTGCCAGGGCCCAGGGGATGCTGGTGTGGAGCAGCTCCCCATCCTCAGAGTCCTCCGAGTACCAGTCCTACTCCCAGTACCAGTCGTGCTGCTCCTGCATGTACGACGAGGACAGCGCTGCTCCGCAGAGTGTGTGTGCCTTCTACACGCACGTGCAGACCGTGCAGGGTGTGGCGGTGGCCTGGGAGACCGAGACCGGCTTCGAGCCGGTCAGCCGGAAGCCCCGCATCCATGAAGCCCAGTTCATCAAGAGGCAGAGGCGGAATGGCTCCTCCTTCGAGATGGCTTCCAACACCGATCTGCGCTGGGACCTGGAAGCCTGCAAGAGCAACTGCAGCCCCGAGCCCGAGGACACAGAGCTGCTGGAATGCTGCCTGCAGGAGTTGCGGTCGCCCCCGGACTGGCTGGTCACCACCAACTACGGGCTGCGCTGCGTGGCCTGCTGCCGGGTCTTCCCCTCCCTGGACGTTCTGCTGGAGCACGCCCAGCATGGCATCCGGGAGGGCTTCAGCTGCCAGATCTTTTTTGAGGAGATGCTGGAGAGAAGGCGAGCTCAAGGCCAAGCACATGACCAACAGCTGGAGGAGGAGCAGAGTCCTTCAGACAACAGTGAATGTTCCCGACCCCAGGGTGAGGTGCTCCCAGCACAGCAGCAGGAGAAGCAGTGAGCTGGAGGGGAGATACTCACCCCTGCCCTCACCTCCAGTGCCTGGGACTGCTCCTTCCCCAGCCAGCAGTATCAGAGCCACTAGGGCAGTGAGAGAGGACCAGGATCCGGAGGAAGGAAAGGCATGGGGTGTAGAGCAGCGAGGGCCAGGAGCCTGGAAGGAGCCCCCTTCCTGTTCTGGGCACAGCATCTCCACCAGGGTCCATTTCAAAATCCAAACCCAAACAAGAGGGCTTTGAGTGTTTCTGATGGCGGGCACAACATCTGAAACCCACAAACGCATGGCCAGAGGGATTTCTATTTTTGCCGGTGCATCAGGCAGGTCCACACTTGCTAAGTAGATGTGGGTCACAGGACAGCCAACTGCAAATGACTCTTCAGCCCTATTTTTTTCACTGTTATGAATCTGTCATATGCCCTAGTTCTATGTCTTATGTTATTGGGATTAAACTTGAATAACACAAAATTGAATGCAGTGAATAATTGAGTGAACATGCTGTCATATTGGACACGTGGGAAGTTGCCATTTCCATAGGTTACAAACTAGCACAAACACCTGGAGACAGGCAGCTTCTCAAGGTAGAGCAGGAGGCTGGGGATGTCCTTCCTACCTATGAGTTCATCTATGTCAACTACACATTTTTAAGAGTTGCCACGAAATTCATCTTCACCCTTCTCCGTGTCTCGGGGGTCTGCATTCATTCAAGAAAAATTAATTGTGGTCCACTGTATGTTTGACATGCTGATGGAAGACATGCTCCAGCCTCTGTTGCTTCCAGTGAGAGACAGTTAGAATGGGCAATTGCAAGGCAAAGGGATGAATGCCATCAAGGAGGTTTGGGGAGCCTAGATGAGGGGCCCCAAGTTCAAGCTGTTTGATCAGGAGAAAGAACTTTCCAAAAAAGATGATGCTCCCAGGGGCTTAAAGGAAAGGCTAGACCAGGGTTCCTCAATCAGCACTGTTGATCCTGCATGCTAATTATTTGTTGCGGGGGCTGTCCTGTCTGCTGCAAGATGTTTACTGGCCTCCCTGGCCTCTACCCATCCGAAGCCAGCAGCATTCCCTGCCCCACAGTTGTGACAATCACAAATGTCTTCAGACATTAACAGATATTCCCTAGGGACAAAATCACCCCAGGTTGAGAACCACTGAGCTAGACAAGAACAAGGCCACGAGGAGAAAAAAACAGACATGATACATTTGGGGAACTGCTAGCCACTTGATCTGGCTGGAATGCTGGGGTTATTTGTCTCTCATATAGTTTATAAAGATGTGCCAGGCACTGAAGTGGACATGGGGAATAAGTGAACAAAGGGAACAAGGCAAACATGGATGCTGCTCCGTGGAGCTTATAGCCTGAAGGCATGCATATAAAATAATTATGAAAGTTTCCATTTCATGACCTAAAGTGTCCTGTGTGGCTGGGCCTTTGCTACTTTCTCCACACCATCTCTTAGCATTCTGTGCCTCACTCACTGTGCTCCAACCACATGGGCCCCTTTCTTTCCTTAAAAGATTCAGGTGTTCGTGCTTCAGGTCCTTTGCCCTTACTGTCTCCCCTAAGTGGAATGCACCCTTGTCTGTCTCTTTTCTGGCTGCCCCCTTGCTCATCTTTGAGGTTGCAGCTTAAATATCTCTTTTTCAGAGGGTCTTTTCCCCATCATGCTGCTGTAGCATATGCCTCATTCTAAGTGTGGATGGTTTTAAGAAGTGACATGGTCAGATTTATGTTTTAAAAATCTCACTCCATGGTGTGTGGGATATAGATTGGGATAGCAGCAAAAGAAGAAAATGAGAAGTGGAGAGATCAATTAGGAGGCTGTTGAGGAAGTCCAGGCCAGGAATGGTGGTGACTTGGACCAGGCTGTCCCAAGCCAAGAGGGAGAAGAGTGGATGCCTTCAAGACTTATTTGGGGAATAGAATCCAAAGGCCTTGGGGAAGGGTGCATGTCAGGGTAGAAGAAAGCGGTTTGTCATGGTGGATTCCCAGGTTCCTAGGAGGAGCAAATGTGGGTGGTTGTGCATTAACTGATATGGGGAAATTTGGAGGGTGATTTCAGTATGAGTGTGTGTGTGAGCGTGTTTGTGTGTGAGCATGCATGTCTGTGTTGGACATGCATATCAGCATGTGTCTGCTTGTAGACATACAGGCATAAGTGATGGGAGGCAAGTGACAGAGGTGAGTTGAGACATAGTCAGTTCTAAATGCTAATGGCACATCTGAGCAGAGATGTTGAGTGGGAAGTTCATGTTATTTAGAAGATAACTCTAGATTGGAAACATAAATGATAAAGTTAACTGCAAATAAATGGTACCATACTGAAAAACCACAACAGTGGATGGATGACACTAACTAGGGTGCAGGGGTAGAGTTAGGGTGTGCCCTGTGAAGTAGGGAGGAATGGAGTGAGAGCATTTCTTAGGAATTTTCTTCAAAGTCAACAAAAATAAGAAAAGATAATTTTCAGGAGGGTAAGCAGTGTCGAATGCTAGGGAGAGTTGGAGTGAGCTGAGGACACAGTATATTTCATTTGACGCATGAGTTTGCTGACAGTTCTGATGAGAGCAGTCTCAGCAGCTGAGAAGGGCAGAGGTCAGACAGGCACTGGTCAGCAGCAGACACAAAATAAACTGCTGGAGGTAAGCATTGGACATCTCTGCAGGCAAGTCTGTTTAGAAAGGAAAGCAACAATGGCTGTAGCTGGACAAAGATGGGGGAGAGAGCAAGTGTATGCCAATGGAAATGATCCAACAGAAAGGAAGAGACAGATAAGGTGGAAAAATGGGGAAATCTAAGGTGAGGAGCCAAACAGGAGAGAAGGGGCTGAGCTGACATGGAGAAACCGACCCTTGAAAAGGGTGGCTCTGAGCTCCTTGTTGCATGCAGATGGGCAGTTAGTCACATAAAGCTTTGGAGTCAAAATTAGGGAACTTGACCATCCACCCTGAAAACTACAAGGAGCCCTGGAGAAATCTGAAGTCGGATTTGCATTTGTGAAGATCACTGTGGCGAAAAGGGTCAAAAGTGGATGAGAGCCAGCATGGTTGGTGACAAAGGGTTCAGCTAAAGTGTCGGTGGCAGGGTGAATTCAGGGGAAATTTAGAAGACTGAACCATAAAGTGTGGCTAGTGTGTGATGAGGATGGTGAAAGGAAGGAATTCGGAATGACCTCTAGGGTTTTTTTCTGGGTGACAAAATGTTGGAGCCATTTGCAGACAATGGAGAAGGAGAAGGTTTGCTTGGGATGCTGGTAAACCCACTTTTGACTAAGCTGAGTTTGAGACAAACATTCAGAAGGGGGCTAGTCATAAGGGTATGGAGCTGAGAAGAGTGGTCGTCCACCTGTGTGTGGTGAGCTGTGGCCATGGTGCTTTGCATGAGCTTCATGTGGGATGCATTCCTTCTGCTGGTGCAAGTGCAGCCGGAAGCCATGAGGTCATCTTAGAAAGGGCATCAGCGGTGGGGATGATATCAGCCTTTTAAAGGTGCAGCAGAGGCCACAAACCTTTTAAATTTGGTGTCAAAGGAGCTTGAGGCTCAGCAGGAAGTAAAAAGAGCCCCAGCTTTATGAAACTCTTCTCGGAAGAGCTATCTGGCATTTGCGGGGGCTTCATAGGCAGGTAGAGTCCAAAGGACACTGCAAGGGAAGGAGAGGCTGCTAAGCCAGAAATAGTGAGTACTAAGGAGGAGAATAGTTTTATCTTAAAAAAATCAGTATGAGAGAGAATTGAAATGAGGCATGATATCTAAGCTCTGAAATTTCAGAATTTAAGAAACAAGTGTTTTTAAGTGCTAAATTCTGTATTCTAAGGGCAAAGCATCCTTTTAAACTCTTTATGAATATTAAATCATGTAGTGCTCTCCACAGTCCAATGAGGTGGATCCTATTATTGTCCGTGTTTTGTTGGTGAGTAAGCAAAGACCCTACAAAGGTCATATGGCTGGTGTACACCAGCCTGGCTCCAAGCCTATGTTCTAATCATCACACAGAGATGCAAACTTCAGTGTAAGGACAGATGCAAGGTATTTAGGAAAGCAAATATGTCAACTGCACAGGCTGCATTTTCTTTAGATTAAGTAGCAGCAGCTGCAGATCAAGGGAAACATGATGAGTGTTCAGGAGAAATGAAATATGACAGCAACTTCGGGTAAGCAAACTATTAATGTAAAGGGTAACTTCAGCTGACATGGATGGGGAAGAAGAGAATAACATTATTCTTAAGGTAGTGACTTGTTCTTAAATTATAACTGAAACTCAACTGAGTTAAATGTTCATTTGTGGTTTAGACACATAATTTTGCAGATACCTGGGACTTCACTGACAAGAGTAAGGGAAATCTTTCCAGAGGTGTCAGGAGATCTCAAACTTTTTAAATTATGAACCATTTTAAACCCTTTATTTTCCCAAACCATAGAAGATGGAGCTCATGTTATAAAACCTACATAAACCTCATAACAAAGCCTGAAAAAGATGGCACTAAAAAGGCAGGCAATATGTTGATCTCACTTATTAACACAAAATAATAACTAATCTAATTTAACAGACTACAAAAACAGTAATTCACCATGACTGGCCTGGTGTGGTGGGCTCATGCCTGTAATCCCAGCACTTTGGGAGGCCAAGGCAGGTGGATCGCTTGAGCCTAGCAGTTTGAGACAAGCCTGGGCAAAATGGCAAAATCCCATCTCTACAAAAACCAAAAAATACAAAAATTAGCTAGGCATGGTGGTGCGCATCTGTAGTCCCAGCTACTTAGGATGAGGTGGAAGACGACTTGAGCCTTGGAGATTGAGGCTACAGTGAGCCATGATTGTGCCACTGCACAATCATAGTCAAAACTATAGTCAAAGAGTTTTATAGTCAAAACTGTAAAACTCTTAGAGAAAACATGGGTGTAAATTCTGAGAATTGAAAACATACGTCCACATAAAAATTTGTACATGAATATTCACAGCAACATTATTCATAATACACCTAATTAACCTAATACAGAAAGTAAAAACAACTTACATGTTTTTCAAATGATGAAAGAATAAACAAAATATAGTATATCCATACAATGGAATATAATTCAGCCATAAAATGAAGAACTGATCCCGTGTTATATACAGATGAACCTTGAAAACCTATGAAGTGAAAGAAGCCAGACACGAAACGCAACATAACATATAATTCTATGCCAATGAAATATTCAAATAGGCAAATTTATAGAGACAAAAAGCAGATTAGTGGTTGCCAGGGATTCAGGAGAAGGGGAGGAACGGGAGTGACTGCTAACAGGTATGGGATTTCTTCTTAGGGTGATGAAAACATTCTGGAATTAGTGGCAATGGTTACACAACTTTGTGAATATGCCATAAACCAGTGAATTGTAGTATGTGAATTGCATCTCAATTTAAAAGACATATAATAACTATAACAACCATTCCTGTAATAAGTTCCTTAGAAACTAAGAATAAGATTTTTTTCAGATAATATAGAATATCTCAAGGGATATCTTGAGCAAAATATCTACATGTACTTCCATTAAAATCAGATAAAAAATGTCATGTATTACAATTTTTATTTGACATTGTTCTGGAAGTTACAACCAATGCATAAGATATGAAACAAAATGTTATATACAGTAGACAGAAAATAATTTTCAGAAAAAGACAATACACTTCGAAAGTACAAATGAATTAACTAAAATTATTGAAAAGATAATCAAAGGATCGATATATAAGATGGAGTTCAAGAACTTCCTTTTATATTAGACATGACTAATTAGGAAATAACGTGGAAAATATTCCATCCACTAGATAAACAGCTATTAATGGAAAGGAAATATTGCAAGAGTGATGAAATGTCTAAGTGATTATTTCTAGTTGGTAATTGTTGATACATTTTATTTCTTCTGTAGTTTTTATTATTTTGTATTTTCTATATTGATCAAGTACAGCTTTTAGAATAAAAAGGCAATAAAACATTTAATCAAGCATTACTTTGTGTGCACCTATACTCTTAGCTACTGGGGAGGCTGAGGTGGGAGGATGGCCAGTACCAAAGCGGTAGAGGCTGTAGTGAGCTATGATTGCAACACTGCACTCCAGCCTGGGTGACAGAGCAAGACCCTCTCTCTAAAAAACAAACAAACAAAATATTACCTTAGTAAGAAGTGACTTTGGGGACTTCCTCAGTTCACACTTGTAGTCTGCAAGACATATTGTGAGAACCCCAGCTCTTGACTTCTTAATCCTTAGTTCTTCAGAATTAAATTAGCTTTAATTGTAAGAGCACTTTATAATAAATGATAGCCCAGCCAACTCAAGGCAATTAAATTACATCGTTCTTTTTGAGATGTGTCCTCATTGTTTACCAAGGTTGAAAGCCATGAGAGGAAGATCTTGAGAGAGAACCAGGGTGGGAACTCAGTTGAGAGAGGGTAAAGATAATGAGTCTGGGGACGGGAATAAGACGGCATCAACAGGACCATACAGGAAGAAGTGGAAGCTGAAGTACAATGAAGGAAAGATGAAAGGCAGATAGAGGTGGGAAGAGAGAAGTGGCAGATGTTAAGAATAACATGTAATGCTTTGACCTGAAATGTGACATCACAATGGGGTCCTGGAAGGGGGATTGTGGGGAAAAATGAGGGTTATGTCAAAGATGGTGGAGTCCTGACAGACTTTTCATGACAGTTTCTGTGGTGCTCAGTAATAGGTTAAATTGTGTCCTCCCAAAATTTGTATGTTGAGGGCTGGGCATGGTGGCTCAAGCCTATAATCCCAGCACTTTGGGAGGCTGAGGTGGGCAGATCACTTGAGGTCAGGAGTTCGAGACTAGCCCGGCCAACATGTTGAAACCCCATCTCTACTAAAAATACAAAAATTAGCTGGGCATGGTGGTGGGTGCCTGTAGTCCCAGCTACTCAGGAGGCTGAGGTGGGAGAATCACTTGAACCTGGGAGGCGGAGTTTTCTGTGAGTTGAGATCGCACCACTGCACTCCAGCCTGGGCAGCTGAGTGAGACTCTGTCTCAAAAAAAAAAAAAAAAAAAAAAAAGAAAAGAAAAGAAAAAATTCATATGTTGAATCCTAATCTCTGGCACCTCAAAATGTGACTGTATTTGGAGTTAAGGCTTTTAAAGAGGTAAATTCATATCAGGGGGCCTAAACCAATATGACCAGAGTCTTTATAAGAAGAGGAGATTAGGACCCAGGCACATATAGAGGGGAGACTGCATGAAGACACAGGGAAGAAGACGGCATCTGCAAGTGGAAAAAAGAGACTCAGAAGAAACCAACCCAGTGAGGCCTTGATCTCTGACTGTGTCGCAAAACTGTGAGACAATACATTTTTTATAGTTTAAGCCACCTGGCCTGTGGATTATGGCAACCTGAAAAACTGAATATAGATTCTGAAGAGCAGGAGACAGAGACAGGAAGACAGCAGCCACAAAGGCTCAGGAAGGTCCATGTTCCAGGTAAGGGAGCCTTCCCAGGCGGGGTCCTTAGGGGCACAAGCACATGGTGAGCAGTCTGTCCACATTTGTTGATGTAAATGCTGGTAACAGCATAAATGCATATGGGAGCAAGCAACTAACTTTTGGCAAACACAGGGTGGTCTCTGGCCTGAGCACAGAGGGTGATGTGGGCCCCTGTCAGAGGGTTTTGCAGAAGGAGTCAGGTGTGTGGGCATGTGGTGCTACTTTCAGCCTCAAATGCTTCCCTCCCTGTGACCAGGTCTGACCAGAAGGTCCCACAGAAAAATGAGCCGGGTACAGGGACAAAGGGGATGTGCTGAGCTGTAGAAAAGACAGAGTAAGGAGATTCATGAAAATGTCGGGTCTACAGCTCACAGCCTGTGTACCAGGAGCCAGAGCCCATGTGTGCACGTGTGTGTGTACATTTGTGTGTGTGTGTGTGGGGGGGGGTGTTACCTGCTGCTCTGCACTGGGCCATGCTGACACCTAGACTGGGCCAAGCACAAGGGTCCTGTGAAGAGGCTCACAAATGACTCCTGACTCCTGATGATTTATGTACCGTCTGCTGCTGGACTTGCTGCAGCCCTTCCAAGCACACCCTCAAGGACTACTGAGCCGGGGTGCCATCAGTCTTGGGAAAAGAGAGTGAGAATTTCCTAAAGCAATGTTTGGCAAACTTGACTACTATTATTTTGAAAGGCCAAGAAACATTCCTATGGAGCCTGCCTTGACTTCAGTTATTGATGTGGAAATAAAGCAGCACAAACACAAACAGCTAAGCTTATAGTTACTTTACAAGTGCAAAACAAAAACCAAATGTGTAAATTAAACACAATTACAAACAGCAATAAAACTCAAACTAATAACATTAGTTTAATGTGACTATGGGTATTTGTGAAACCAGTTTGCCTCTTCTGTGAATATGGAACTGAATGCCATTCAGATTCTCCTGTGGGGTGATGGGCTCTCACGCCAAGTGCTGGGAAGTGAGTCAGAGCCTCACAGCAGTCGCATGCTGATAGAGCTTGATGCCTTTACTTCCATGGACATCAAACTGCCACCTGTGTCAGACTAGCTCATCCTAGACTTCGGTTACAATCCATTGCTTCTGTAACACTTTTAGTCTAGACTTGCTCCAAGCTGGGAATCTTTGTGTCTCTGTAGAGGACTTACAGAGGTCTTATTCCCTTGTTTCTAAGTTATTAAGAATGCAGAATGGGAATTTCCCGAAGCCTAAGTCTTCTGCTTGGATTCATAAAACATCAGAACTGTATTTACTGTAACATCTTTGACATGGGGAGGAAGCACTTTAAAATTAATAGTACCTTACAACAGATGAAATAATGTAATATGTATGATATTGATCAATAATTGATATCAATGTATGATATTGATCAATTATTGATATTGATCAATAATTATATGATGCTTATGAGCAGCATACATGTAAAAACATTGAGATATCTAAAAAGCTTTTACTTTTAGGTTTTACTTTGAAAAAAAATGAAAACTTACAGACCTTGCGAGAATAGTACAATGAATTCCATATGCTCTTTATCTAGATCTACCGACTCTTCCCATTTGCCTCTTTCTCCCTGTGTCTCTGTCTCTCTTTCCATATATATATTATACAATACATATTATAGATAAACTTATTGTTACTTTTGCTGAACCATTTAAGAGTAATTTACATTCTATTAACACCAGACACTTCAGTGTGGATCACCTAAGAACAAGTGTAAAGGCATTCTCTTTCATAATCATGCCAGGAAATGTATTGTATGTAGTATACAATATAGTCCATTTGCCAGTCAAACCAATAATGTCCTTTTTAGCATTTTTTTCCTGATCTCACATCAAGGATCTAGGATCATATATTTCATTTAGTTGGTAAGTCTTTTTAACCTCTTTTACTCTGAACAGTTCTTCAGCCTGTTTTTCGCTCATTGAATGTTCAATGAAAGTAGAAGGCATGGACTGAGATTTTAATCTTGTATATCAGTGGTCAGTTCTAAGATGTTTTCCTTGTGGTCAATTTTATAGACATCTGTTCAGTTCCTAGTCTCTCCCTCATTCCAATCCCCTCCTTCTGGAACCTTCTAGGAAACTGGGGCCATGTCTTTCCGTTTCCTGGGAACTCATCCAGGTTGCTGAATCCAGCCAGCCTGCAGAGCCCTTGGCATCAGCTCACAATCACCTCCATCTATTGGGGTCACCAATGAGGTTGTTTAGAAGCTGTTTCTATCTAGACATCCTGTCAGGCCTGTAGCTTCACATTTCCGTACACTTCGGGAAAAACACTGCATTCCATATCCATACTCCTTCCCCAGTTGTGCCGGGGGGAAGACAGTGCTGCAGGTTTCATGTAAACTCTGCCCCAGGGGCTTTAGGCCTATGTTTCTGATTGGATGGGTGCACTGTCTGTAACCACGATTTTTCCTCTTTCTTATCCTTTCCCTGCTCTCTCAGTCACAGCTGAAAACCTCTTTTGTCTAGAGTGAACTCTCTTTCAGTGGCAATTCAAGCATGTAGCTGACTGCTTTTAGCTGTAAAATGCTTGTGGGAGGAGCAAATATTCAAAATTACTTTTAGAAATCTAGACTGAAAACGTAACACATGGAAATCTGCTAAACACCTTAGAAGAGGGGGGTTTGCTTTTGCTTGGTGTTCTTAGTTTAGGGATATATTTGCTCTATATAAGGTCCATTACAAAACCATGCCGTATTCTTCCATCTCTGACCCAGGTTCTAACAATTGGATAATGAAAGAGGAAAAGCCCCAGCCTGCCAGTTGATAGCAGAACGCACTTGTTTGAGAAAATCTGGATTTCTAAGATTCTTTCAGTGGCAATTGGTAGAATCCAGGATTAGTTGAGTAGGCTTTCCACATAGCTTAGTGTCCACAGGAATCTGGATCAACTTTAGAATGGTTTGAACGCCCGCCTTTTTACGAGGTAAATAAAAAATATAATTGGATTGTATTATTCTTCCGATACAGTACAAAGTAAGACCTGATAGAGCCAACGTATGGACAAAGAAGTCTGTGGAGGATTTTCAAATGGTCCTAAGCTTGTGAATGAGTGAGCAGGCAGCAGAGCTAAGAAAACTATCTGGAAGGCCTTTGCCAATGTAGTCCAGAACAGCTGAAAGGCCAACTCTTATCCGGGTCACTGACTCTGTCTCCCATGAGGGCTGAGTATATTCCTTTGTTCCTGTGTTCATGCAGCAAAGGTTTTACCAGGATGATCAGTTAAATTATATGGGAAGCTAAAAAGTACCAGCAGCGCACACAGCTGTAAAATCAGCACAATGTTACCTGTAGCAGAAGTGCAAGAAAAGCACTTTCTAGCCTCAAATCTCTGGCACAACCCAGTTTTGGCAAAGACGAAGCAAGTCAAGTGTGGCAGGTTGAATTTCTTCTTCGTTTTGCAATGAGAGTTGGATATTTAGCAATATACAATGACCAAAGCAGGCGTTGCCTCCTCCAAGGGTGGCCTACACATCTAACAGGTCCCTTCTGCTTTCCACCAACTGGGAGAGTAAATTGAGACTGGCAGGTTGAGGTGGGAGGTTACCAAGGACACCACATGACCCTGCCACTTCTCTAGCTGCTCTTAGTACAGCCATGTCAAGATGCCATTTTACATGTGTCACTTTCCCTTGACAAATGAAATTCCGAGAGGTTATGCTGCTCCAGACCCAAGGCTGTTGCCCAGCCAGAGCGGGTCACAGGTCCACTTTCAGAACCAGTGCTCCTCTTCAGACATCCTTCCTCAGTCTGCCAAGCACTGCCCCAGGCTCCAGGACTGAGTCAACAGTCTGCAGTCAGAGTCCAAGTTCCCATTTCAGACATTTGGTGCCCCACAGAACCTTGTATGGATCCCTGGTCTTCTCTGAGCCTGAATTTACTAATTTGTAAAATGAGGCCTAGGACATCATGTGGTGGGACGTGAGGCTTGTTTGCTCATGCATGCAAATTGGTTTCCAAACTCCGGTCTGGAAGCCTCATAGGAATGTTTGCATTCCTGGGCTGTAGGAGTCCGTCTGACCCCAGTTCTAGTCCTCACTTCTTGTCCTTGGCATCACAGCCAAGGACCTTTGTTGCCAACTCACTATCAGGTCCTCAGGCCCTTCCACCAACCCAAATGATAGATGGGGCTGCTTTCTCCAGCCTGGCTGCCTTGATGGTCAGTTCAGTCGCTGCAGGGCCTGGTCCACAGATGAGTCTCCCAGATGGAAGATCCCATAGGGCCCAGAGACCTCTGGAAGTGCCTGGGGTTCAGAGATGTCACAGAGCCTTTGCACCCACTGGCCTGGGGTTCCTGAAGGGGATGGTCCGTTTGGGGAATGCCCTAGGGCTCACACTAGTGGGCTGCACACTCTTTCCATGCCACCCACACCTCCTCATTCCCTTAGAAGGAAGGAGATGAGGGCCCTGTCTCCTCCTCTTCCTCCAGGGACCCACTCCCAACCAGGGCCCACCTGCTAGCTGCTGCTACCCCTTACTGGAACTCTACAAAGACCTCTCCTGATAGACACACGCAGAATAGACCTAACATGCACTTTTCTTGCTTGGAGATGGGATAGGCTCAGACCCTAAGTTTAGAACAGTGCCAAAGAGACCAGGCATTGGCTCAGAGTGACGGGGCTCGGTGGCCGTGTGACCTGACCTGGGTCTCCTTCATGTGGCTGCTTCTGCTTCCTTATCTATAGTAACAATAGCAGTGGTCACTGACATTCGTGAATCGGGTGCTGGGGCAATGCCTTAATGGGAATGGTTTCACTTGGTCTTCCTAAACACCCCACGAGGGGTGGGCCCATTTCCCTATTGTACAGGTGCAGGAAACTGAGGCACATGGAGATTATGGAACTGTCCCAGGGCCTGACCGTGGCGGGGTTCAGCAGCATCGGGAAAATCACTTTAGCCCAGGTCTGGCTGAGGGCACCGTAAATAGGCACTTCTGTTAACAGTTTCCACATATTATGGGATGGTCTGTGTGGACCCTCTCAGTTTTCCAAGGGTCAACACCTGGGACCCCGCCCTCCATTTCAGGGCAGCAGAAGGGGCTTCTCCCCACTCAGCGTCTCCTTGGCTCCGAAGGGTCCTGTGGAGTGAGCGCTGGAGGCCCAGGGCCAGCGGGTGAGTCTCAGGCCAGAGGTTCCCTAGACGCGCCCCCAACCCCTGGCTCCCAGATCCCGCCTTCCCTTAGGAATAACTGCATCTGTGGGCAGGGGACCGCCGGTTGCCTTGCAGCAGTGTGTTCTCCGAGTCACCAGCGATCACCTTGCAGAACCTCAGTGTTCTCATCTGGGAAATGGGGCTGGTGAAAGGAGACGCCACAGATACTGGAGCTAACCGATCGCGCGGCTGCTCCCGCGCCCGGTGCGGGCCTCGGGACCCAGCAGCCCCGGCCCTGCGTGGCAGGCGGCCCAAGGGGCGGGCCGGGGGCGGGCGCGGGCGCGGGCGCCGGGCGGGCTGGCGGCGGCCGGGCCAGGCGGCGGCGCTCTCCCGCGTCACAGCGCCGGGCGGCGGCGGGGAGATGCGGCTGCTGGCACTGGCGGCGGCTGCGCTGCTGGCGCGGGCTCCGGCCCCGGGTAAGCGCAGCGGGGCCAGGCGGGCGCGGGGAGGGTGGGGGCCGGGTGGCCGCGCAGGGGAGGCCGGGGCTCCAGGCCTGGTGGGGAGGCCCCTTCGGGCGTGGGCGGGGGGCTGCGCTGTCACTGTAGCCGGCGCGCTCCGGTGGGCTCGCCGCGGTCTGGCGGGCGCGGCGGCGCCTCCCCAAGGTTCAGAGGACGCCTCCCGGGAGCGCGGTCCCCGTCCCGACCTCGCCTGGGGCTGGGCACTCTCGCAGCAGCCGCGATCTTCCCAGCGGCAGGCCCCGAGGGGAGATGCAGCAGGAGCGCAGCCGAAGTTGGTCGTTCGCTTTCCTTTTTTCCACGGCAGTCAGGACACATAACTCTTGGCAGGTTCCTCGGAGCAGCAACTTCCCTTTCACTCTCTTTGGAGAGTTACTCCGAAGACAAGTCAGGAGCGGCTGGATCTGCCTTGGCCAGGAGGTGGGGAACGGGGACTTGCTCATGGGCCTTTTGAAGTGACCAGGCCTGATGAGAGGGGCATCCACGGCTGGATGCAGCGACGCCTCTCCCACCAGCACCTTTCTTTGAGGACAACTTCTTGGTCCACACTAGTGGCTTTCTTTCGGGTTTTACTGCTGCCACTTGTAAGTGGCTTAAGAATTTTCCCTCTTTTTTCCCCAGAGCCCTGTCCGGCTGCCTCAGGACAGTACGGGCCGTACTGGCTGGAATAATAGTAATAATACAGGTATCGATGGTCACTTTTCCTGGGTGCCTATCTGGGCCTATCTCATTTAATCACAACAGCACTTCCAAGTAATCATGACTACAACACGTTTATATATCCAAGTATTAAAACAAAAACAAAAACAAAAACAAAACCATGAACTTGATTAATCTCACCAGTAACCTCTGAAAAAGATGCTATTATTATCCCCATTTTATAGATGAGGAAACTGAGGCTCAGGCCCATGAACGGACTTGCCTTAAGTCACTAGGCTTATAAGTGGTGGAGCTGGGATTTGAACCCAGGAAGCCTGGCTCTGGGCTCTGTTGATAACCACTAAACTGTGTTGCCATTGTTTTGAAAATTAGGAAACTGATTCTCAGAAGTAAGTTTCCAAGAGTGATCTGGGTACGAAGTGGTAGAGCTGGCATTTGAGCCAGCATTAATCCATAGATCCCAGTCTGAGGAGGAGGCACTTGGTTAACAGTGGGAAGAAATCCATCCACTGTCCCCCAGCTATAAAGTGCAGCCAGGCTCCCAGTAAACCTGAAATCCTTGCTGCGGGAAATGTACTTTTTCCCGGTTGTCACTGTCTTGGCTGGAAAAATGAGAAGTTTGCCTTGGATCGTGGGCAGGGCCAGTTCTCGTGGTCTCTGTGGGGTAGCCAGCAGCCAGTGGTCCTTCCCTTCCCAGGCTCCATGACCACCTTCCTAATTGCAGGAGCTGTCAGAGTGGATGTCCCAGAGCTTGGCTTCTGCTGGCGATCAAGGGCATTCTCATGTTTCCAGGGGCCCTTGGGAGCCTTGAGAGCTGGAATTCAGGATCCTTTAGAGTCTGCCCTGGCTGTGCCCAGGGTCAGCCCTGAGGAATGAAAAGAGCTCCTGCTTGTGGGACACTCACTGTGTGCCACCCACTCTTCTAAGTGCTTCATTCATGACTCCTCACCACGATCCTGCTGGGAGGGGCTGGCAGACCCATTTTATGCATAAGTACAGCTTCTTAACTGCTGCACTTTTCTAACTCTCTATTTTGGGACTGAGCAGGACCCTAGTGGTCACCTGGTCCCATGTCTCATTTTACAGGAAAGTAAACTGACAGACAATACATTTACTATAGCAAATCTGTAGGCTTGAGTGCTGGCTGAGCTGTCTTTGAAGCAAGATGGCCTAGGTTCGAATTCCAGCTCTGCCACTTACCATGTGAGCTTGAACAAGGGCTTAGCCTCTCTGTATGTCAGTCCTCTTGTCTATAAAATGGGAATAAACAGAGTATCAGGATAAATTGAGAAAATACATATAAAGGGCATCGAGTTTGTACCCAGCAGGCATTAGCCTGTATCATTGAGCAAGGTGATACTTTTATCCTGGATGGACCTATTTTCAGGTGATAGGCTAATGTGAGTGAATAAGTCTTCATGGGCTAGGTCTGGTATCACCTCTGCTTAGTGCTCAGTAAATATTGGCTCCTGGTGCCAAAGACTGTTAAGTAATACAATTGTATTTCTTTCAGAGATTTAGCTGTATGAATTCAGACTATCCTTTTAATAAGAAAGCTCACTGTTGCTGATCAGTACTGACAGTTTGCATTCCTTATAAACTTAGAGGCTCTGGTCTCCCTGAAGTGAGTGGGGGCAGTTTCTTCAGGCAGAGAGGAAGTGGGAGGCACAGAGCCACCAACACATCCCTCACCTGCTCAGAACCAAGGGACTGTGCCCACCTCTGCATCCCAGATGAGGCTGGTGCCTTGTTGTGTTAGCTGTCCTTGCTCCCCTGCACCTGGAAGTGGCCATCTCCCACTTCACAATGAGCAGGTTGTCCTATTCAGCTACAAGGGTGTCCTAGGCTGTTTTCAGAGTTGTGTTAGTCCTTTTCATGACATTATTCAAATATAAACAAGGGAGTTAGACACCTTAACTTTTATCCACAGGAATTTGAGATTCATCTACAAACATAACCAGCTACATCGCTTGTGGGATCCAGGGTCAAATGAAAATGTGAGGCTCCTTGTTAAAATGTATTAAAATTTCAAGATAGTAACAGCAGAGACTAAACCATGCTGGGGGAGTGAGGCCTTCCAAGCATGGGGTACTGTGTGCCTGCAGGTCATGGGCCCACGAAGCCCACTGTACTCGCAGGACAGTGTGCATGCCACTTTCTATTGCTCCCACCTCCCCAGTCTCAAGGCATGCAAACTCTATCTGTATTTTAAAGGTGCTTTTGCATTGGCACCTATGCTTACTGTGAAAGGCATTATTTTCCCATTTTTCAGACGAAACTGAAACTCCAGGAGGCTCACACCTAACAGAATCAGGTTTCCAGCCTGGCTCTGTCAGATGCCAGCCTCTGGCTCTCTACCCAGCCCTTGGCTCTCTACCGAGCCCCACCAAGCTGCTGCTTCTGTGTCTCATCGTTTCAGCTACCTGAGAAGGCCTGGGACCATGAACATCCCAGTGCTCAGCGCATGTGGTGCCCAGGACTACCAAGTCCCAGAGCATGTGCTTATTGGAGACATGGGATTCGCTGCAGCAGGAATCCTGTCCCTCTGTTTGTAACAGTCTCTTCCCTATCAGTTTTGTTATATTCCTCCTTTAAAAAGTGGCCTTGGGGAACCTGATTGGGGTAGGGAATACCTTCTGAGGACCATGTGTTGGCAAGGGTGTCTGTCAGGCCACAGTCGGGTACAGTTCACCAGGATGAACTGACCTTTCCATTTCTAGCCTGTACGGGGTCCCTCCTGCCTCACGACCTTTGCAGAGGTGGGGCTCCCTCCTTGGAAGATCGCTCCTTGTTGCTGCCTTGAACTTTATTTTATTAGTTTCTACTGAGTCTTCAGCTCAAGCTCACATCCCCAGAGTCCCTTCCCCTGACTCCGAAGTCTAGATCAGGATTTTGCCATGATTTTCTTAAACCCTGCACTTTTCTCTGTGGCACGTGACACTGTAGTTATATTCTCCCATGTCTTTTCCCCAATGAGTGACTGCCTTACCCACTGGACTCTCCACTGCACAAGGTCAGGAATGTTGTCTTCTTCTTTACAACATGCCTGCTGCATGAGGCTTAAGCTGGAGGAAGCAGGAACTGTAAGTAGAGAGGTACAATGGGGAGGGGGACGATGGGTCTACCTCCCACCTCAATTCTCCACAACACAGGGTCACAAAACAAGAAGTTAATTTCTTCTTTGGGCCAGAGTGACTTTGGCAATCTTTCCTAGGCCAGGAGAGGGAAGATCTGCCCTGCCTGGCTGCTCCTTCATCTACCTGGTGGAGAAGGGGGCGAGTGACACCATCGGATCCTGCCCCTCTGACATGCCAGGCATGCATGGACTGTCATTGAGACTGAGATCCAGAGGGAAGAGCCTGGGCTCCTGGGGGCCCTGCACCCTTTCTCCTGCCTCTGGACACTGGTGCACCTACTTCCCCTCGTCCTGTCCTCTGATTGCCATTGGTGTTCCCTCTGCTGAGCCCTATGGTCCTGATGACTGTAGGGGGAGACAACGGACTACCTCTCTCTTAGTATTGAAATGAACACCCAACTGGCTCACATTTGCCAGCCCCTGGGTGCCCTAACTGCATTCACTCTCCTCCCTCCTGCCTTGCCCCATCTCACAGTTGCCTGGATACATGTGCCACCTTTGCTGGGTTTAAGGCAGCCACGTCCAGGGCTGGGGAGGAGAAGAATGTTACTTAAGGCACCCAGCTTTGCTGAGAAGGCTTATCACAGGCACAGGGACCCCACAACCTGAACAGCTTGTGTCCTCCAGAAAAGCTTTCAGACTTGGCGGGGGCCTGTGGCCATCAGAGTTCTAACCACACCACCCACCTCCTGGCGCTGAAGGTGGCAGGTAGAGTGCTGGAATGAAGCTTGCTGTGAACAGGGCTGGATTAGTGTGCTTAGACTGTCATAACAAAGTACCATAGGCTGGGGTACTTACACAACAGAAATGTCACATTTTGGAGTCTGGAAATCTGATCAAGGTGCTGGCAGGGTTGGTTTCTCCTGAGGCCTCTCTCCTTGGCTTGCGGATGCCACCTTCTCCCTGTGTCTTCACATGGTCTTCCCTCTGTGTGTCTGTGTTCTCATCTCCTCTTCTTATAAAGACCATTGATACTAGATTAGGGCCCAGCTTAATGAGTTTATTTTAATTTCATTACTCCTTTAAAGACCCTATCTGCAAATACAGTGCCATTCTTAGGTCCTGGGGCTAAGGCTTCAACATATGAATTTTGGGAGGACACAATTCACCCCTAACAAAGGTCTTTGCACTTTGGTGGAAGAAACAGATGCTTGTGCCATTTGTAAGAGAATATGGGGCAAAATGAAGGCAGGGAGGTGCACCAATAGAAAAAGAGGGTTCATCCTGGGAGGCTAGAGCATAGTCCTTTCCCTTTCCTGGGAGCCCCTGACCCTGTCCTGAGCCACAGAAGTGGAAGGTTTACTAGCTTGCCTCCAGGATGGAATCTGGTCTCCCATGGGGACTGGAGCACTTGGCACATCCTTCTGGTTTCAGTCACTATAAATAATCCCTCTTCCATGTAGCGTTAATAGGAGGATCCTGGGGCGTGGAGTCCCGGCTGCACTCTCATCCCACCCATCTTGTTTCAATTTCCTGCCTTCCTCAGCTCTCCTGGCCTCTACTGGGAAGCTCTTGAGGGCGGGGTGGGGCTGGACTTCAGTTCTGGAAGGCAGCTGCTGCATCATTGCTGGTCTCTTTGCCTGCCCAACCCCTGGCAGATGTTGGAGCTGGGTCAGCCAGTGTCCCCCAGCTGCTGCATTCCTCACCAGGGAGCTCCTGCCGTGGAAGCTGTGTGGACTTCACACAGGGTTTCAGCAGTGAGGAAGAAATGTCTTCTGACTAATTTAACATGGCCCATGGGCCAGCTGCCTGCCAGGTGGGCGAGATGCAGGGGGACTGGTCGGGCCAATTCCTCTTCATTTGCCTTGCAGGAGGGGCTTCTGATGACAGCGGGATTGCTACCAGAGTGGGTCCCTCCTTTGGCTACACATTAATCTGCAGCCCTAAGTATCTCCCAGGCTGGCTTTGTCCTGCATCCCTGTAGACATAGAAGACCTCATACCCATCCAGCGGAGAGTCCAACTGAGCCTTAACCCTTTTTTGCCTAAGCTCACTTCCATATATATCAAAGACTTTGGCGTTTTAATCCCTGGGGACCTGTGAATGGAACCTTGCATGACAAAAGGGACTTTATGGGTGTGATGAAGTCAAGGCTCAAGGAATTACCCTTGAATATACTGTGGGCTAGTGCTTGTCTTCTGAGAGATGAGAAAGAAAATTAAGGAAAAATGATCCTCAAATCATCTGTCTTGAGGTGTTCAGTTATTAAATCAATAGTTGAAACTGTGTAGGAGGACGACCTGTTGCCTGGATTTTTACGATGAAGAATAGTTTGTATCTACCATCACTCCCCCAGCCCACCGCAGGGCCGCCTGCTTGCTGTCCCACAGCCTCCTTGTCAAATGTTCAGATCTTGCTTGATTTGTTTCTCCTCTTTCCTTCTTGCTTCCCTGCAGCACTGCCCAGGGGTCAAAGCTTTTGGTGACTGTGACATCTGGGGCCCAAGCCCTCTTCTGTTACCAGATGGTGGCATTTGGGAACTGAAAGCTGTGCTTTGGGATGACGGTGGGATCACCTGCTTGTGTAGAAGGGTAGAGGCGAATGGCTTCCTGGAGTGATACATGGGGCAGGCAGTACAGGGGTGGGGACATGGAGCTCGGTGAGAAGACAGCCCTGACTGGGCAGAAAGAGGTTCCAGGCATCCTGTGCAAAGCGTCTGTTCTTGGGCCCTGCCTGCCAGAGTGTTGTGCCATGAGCACCGGGCAGCCTGGTCACACTGGGTAGTCCAGGGTGCACCATGAATCATGGCTCCTGGGAGATTTCAGCACTCAGCCTCTCTGAGGTCTGCTGGTCTGGGTGGTGGAGTGGGCGCTGGGGTGGCTTCATCACAGGTCAGCTCAGGGGCAGAACAGCGGCTGGGAGTGGGCAGCCCTCAGACTGGTTTTAACTGAGGAACCAAAGGACAGGAGGTTGTGGATGGGGCCTGGAATTCCAAAGTGTCTTTTGGAGTGTTGGGAGAATCTCTCATCCCCCCTCTTCCTGGGGTTCAATCGTTCTTTATTCTTGCTCTTCAACTCTGAGAAGATGGATCCTTCAAATCGGAAATCAAGCAACCCCTGTTGTCCCAGCTCATACCCGACCTTACTACTCATCTGCCCTGGGTACAGCTGAAATAGCGGAGGCGGGGAAAAGAGCCCAGCTTCCTGGTGGACAGGCCACCAGAGAGGAAGCCCTACCCTGCCCTGCTCCAGGGCGGCTCCCCACCCACAGCACGGCTGACATCAGGCCAGGGACAAAACTGATAAAAGCAGGCCTTGGGGAGGAGCAGGGGTCAGGTGGTGAGGTGTGGGAAGTGGTGGGGGGTCAGATGTGGGCTAGACATTTTTAAGAAATTCCAAAAATCTAAATCTTTTATGTGAAATTTGAATTTTAAATGTCAGCAACTAATTACAAAATTTTGAAAAATACTTCTGGGTCAGGAAGTCATTGTTTAGCATCCCCCATGGACAGGGTGGTCCCATAGATGAGACAGTGGGGGCCCACAAAGGCTCACCCCCAGAACAGCCGCTCCGCTAGAGAGGTGAGGGGTCGCCTGCTTCTCTGGCTAGGCAGAGCACCAGGATGTCCAGTGTGTGGAGGCATTTCCCGGCTCCTCGACTGTGGACTGCCCACAGAGGGACTTGCGGCCCTCCTCATCCTCTCTTTTCCCCTTTTTCTCTGCAGAGGTCTGTGCGGCCCTCAATGTCACTGTGTCTCCGGGGCCCGTGGTTGACTACTTGGAGGGACAGAATGCCACTCTCCTCTGCCACGTCTCCCAGAAGAGGCGGAAGGACAGCTTGCTGGCCGTGCGCTGGTTCTTTGCACACTCCTCCAACTCCCAGGAGGCCTTGATGGTGAAGATGACCAAGCTCCGGATGGTGCAGTACTATGGGAATTTCAGCCGCAGTGCCAAACGGCAGAGGCTGCGCCTGCTGGAGGAGCAGCGGGGGACACTTTACAGGCTCTCTGTCTTGACACTGCAGCCCTCTGATCAAGGGCATTACGTCTGCAAAGTCCAGGAAATCAGCAGGCACAGGAACAAGTGGACGGCCTGGTCCAACGGCTCCTCAGCCACAGAAATGAGAGGTGAGGGTCTTGGTCTCCCTGGGTAGAGAGGATGGCAGGACAGGCCAGTGAGCCCCCCTTTGCAGCCACCACCCAGGGGCTCCCGGGTTGGCTCTGTTGCACTAGAACATATCTTGTGGGCCTTTGTTGGTCACAGACATGAATCATGCCGTGGGATGAGGGTAGATCTTTACCTGGACACTGGCTAATGCGCTGTGTAGACACAGAAGTGAGAACAGAAAGGACCAAGTGCCTGCCCCAACATGGCCCAGCCCCCACTCTGGGCAAAGCCTCTTATGTATCTGAAGTTGGACTGCTGTGTGCTGTCAAAGGTAAACAAAGCTGGACCTGGGTTAAAGGGGTCAGGACAGATTTTATTCAGCAGTAGCTACTGCAGTAGAGAAGAGAGCCTGGCCTGAACTGGACTCAACTCTGATTTGTGCAGACGTGACTACTTGTTTTAAAAGGAGAATGAGTGAGTGGGGGGTAAGTGGGGACTCAGTAGAGTCAACGAGGTGTGAAAATTGCGAAAAGCAGTAGGGAGGGTTTTGGCTCATATGGAGCCATCTGGGTTTGCTAATGTGCTGATCGAAGTTTGGCTTCTACCTTCTCACAGAGATGGGGAGATGGGGGTTTTGTTTTCAGGTATTGGCTGGAACAAGCAGTAAATGCTTTGGGCAGCCTTGAGTTTTCTCAGGCAGGCACTTTCAGGAGGTCATTGTAGGCAAAGGCATGTGGCCTTGAGCCATTAGAAACTATGTTAGTGTTTATTGGAGTCTTTAGGCCAAGATTGAGGCTTAGTCGAGAAGGGGCACCGAGGAGCCTGGCTGGAATTTGGCTAAGGAGGGCATCTTTGCCAGTGCTCAGCCTCCCACCCAGGTCTGTGCAGGCTTGATGGCTTTGGCTGAGGGGTGCCAGGCACCCATGGAGGAGGCACGCGTTGGGAGGTCTTGCTGTGAGTCGTCAGGCCTGGGAGCAGGGCAGGCTGGTTGCCCAGTGGAACTGATCCAAGCTTAGGCAACAGCTAGCCAAGAAATTCATGAGGAAGTGGGCAGAGGACCAGGGGTAGCCCTCCCTTGCTGAAGGCAGATAGGAGGGATGGGCAGCATTTCTGCAGTGTCTCAGCTACCAAGTGCCATATTTTAGGGTTGTCATTATTTTATCACCAGTGTTTCTATTCAGGAAGACACCTCTCACAGTTTTAGTAAGATTTTCTATTGTGCACTAAATTATGCCTTTGATTGATTTGAAATTGAATTTAGTTTGGCACAAGATCAAGAGGATCACAAAGTACAGCTGATCGTCTCAAATACGAAAAAGCATCTAATTTCATTGTACACATATAACAAAATATTCAAGGTCTTAAGTGATGTTGTTTTGATAAGCCTTTTTAAAGGACAAAACTTAGTTGTGAAAAGTATTTTTAATGTCCTATATGAATAAGGGACATAGAGTAAAATAATTTATATACAGAGTCTTTACAGTAGTTCTATTTTACTTGTCTTTGGAGTTTGCTTGTTGTAATGTTTATAGGTACAGAATGATGTATTAAATAGAATGTGCAATTTTTTTTCTTGAGCAAATTAATTCAAGAAAACCAGTGACTATTGGCTTATTATTTTCACATAGAAAACAAGACATCAGATCATCAAGGGCTGGGCCAAGAACCCACTACAAATACCACTTGGCTCTGAAACACAAGATCTTATATATATATAAGATATATATATATATACACATATGATATATATGATATATATGATATGATATATATACACACCTATGATATATATATGGTGTGTGTGTGTGAATTGTGTTGTTTTTGGTCTTTGTGTCACAGTGTATTCTGGAGTCATAGATGAAATCTCTTGGCAGTGATGACATTCTGCCACATAAAACATATAAAAAGTTTGCTACCTTCAAGTAAGCAGAGTTATCTAGCTAGTTGGTTAATGTGAATCTCATTTCAGTGAGTGAAGCTGGGTTCAGTCTAGAACATTTGTTTGTTCCAAAAGCATGAGGTAGTTTTTAAGACTTCACTGGAAATAAGAATCTCTTTTCCCCCTTCTTCTCTTGCTCCCCACTTTCCTGCCCTGGTCCTCCGGTTTCTCTTTTTTCCCCTCCTCAGCTCCCCTTCCCTTCACTTCCCACCTCTTTTCTTCTTCCTCTTTCCTCTCTCTCTGTCTGTCACTCTTTCTCTCTCTGTCTCTCCCTCTCTGTCTCTCTCTCTCTCTGTCTCCCTCTCCCTGTGTCTCTTTGTCTTTCTCTGTCTCTTGTTTCTGCCTGTCTTTCTATCTCTCTCCTCTCTGTGTCTCTCTCTGTCTGTCTCTCCCTCTCTGTCTCTGTCTCTCTCTTTCTCCTTCTGTCTCTCTCTTTGTCTTTCAGTCTCTCTCTGTCTTTCCATCTCTGTCTGTCTCTCTCTCCCTCTGTGTCTCGGTCTCTCCCTCTCTCTCTGTCTCCCTCTGTCTCTCTGTGTCTGTCTCTCTCCCTCTGTATCTCTCTGTCTCTCTCTGTCTCTCTGTCTCCCTCTGTGTCTCTCTGTCACTGTTTCTCTGTCTTTCCTTCTCCTCTCTGTGTCTCTCTCTGTCTTTGTATCTCTGTCTCTCTCTCTGTCTCTTTCTCTCTCTGTGTGTGTCTCTGTCCCTCTCTCTCTCTCTGTGTGTCTCTCTCACTGTATCTCTCTAGCTCTCTGTGTCTCTCCACTTCTCTCGCCCGCTCCCCTCTGACCTGTCACCCAGAAGTGGTTCTACCCTCTCAACAGAGCTCAGCCTCCCTTGCCATGTCTGCTCTGTCACAACCCCTGGGCAGGGCCATGATTTGCTGATGGAAAGATTCAAAACCTTAGGAAGCAATGACCATATCTTCTAGAACATTCTATTTAGGCTTCCAGGGGACTGTTCCAAGGCAGTTAAGGAAAGGCAACCCCAAGCAATGGCCTGAAACCAGGCAGGCTGTTTGGTTTGGAGCGTGTCCGCCCCAGGCCAGGGCTGTTCAGAGCCTTGGCTGCCTGTTCTTCCTGGGCAGGGCCAGGAGAGGCCCACGGCTCTAGCCTCCCAGAGCACTTTTCCCGGGGCCCTGGACCTTGCTCCTCTGCAAGGGCCTTATTTTCCTAAATCTCCACCTCATGTTCGTCGTCGTCGTCGTCGTCGTCGTCGTTGTTGTTGTTGTTTTTGAGACAGAGTCTCCTTGCTCTGTCGCCCAGGCTGGAGTGCAGTGGTGTGATCTTGGTTCACTGCAACCTTTGCCTCCTGGATTCAAGCAATTCTCCTGTCTCAGCCTCCCAAGTAGCTGTGATTATAGGCATGCGCCACCACACCCAGCTCATTTTTGTATTTTTAGTAGAGGTGGGGTTTCTCCATGTTGGCCAGGCTGGTCTTGAACTTGTGACCTCAGGTGATCCACCCACCTTGGCCTCCCAAAGTGCTGAGATTACAGGTGTGAGCCACCTTAAATGGGAAACAAAAATACAGAACAACAAGGATGAGAGGTTCTGTGGGTTAGAATATCAAACAGGAACTCTCGGGGGGTTTGAGTGCCCCTGACCCCAGGCCCAGGGTCTCTCTTGTCTAATCTGCTCATGTCACCTCCCCCCTTTCAACAGGAGTCTCCAGCCATCCAGTGGAGAGGGGAGCTTTTTCTTGGGATTTCCTTTCTAACACTACCCCACTCTTTGCCCTTCACCACAGACTTCATCGTGATCTCCTTCCTGCAGAGTTCTTGATGTGAGATAAAATTGCTTGTCTTTCACTGGAAACTCCCAGAAAGAAAGGCTGGTGCCCGGTCTCTCCTCATTTCTGTCGTGAACACCTCACCCAGCGCATGGAGGGTGATTCATGATGAAATATTTAAAGTATGACTCCCAGTGCAGAGAAGAGCCATAGGAATGTTGGCTCTTATTATCTGTCCTGATTTCCATATGTTGGTTGTTTTCTATTGCAAAAGTAATATAGTGTAATATAGTTCAATTATAGAAAACATGGAAAAATACTGAAAGGGTTTAAACAAGAAAATAAAAATGCCTTACCATATCTCTACTCAACTTCACATTTCAGTGCAAATCTTTCCTGTCATTTTATGCAAACAAAAATTTAAAACCTAATTTCAGTCTTACTGTAAAGAGTGTTCTGTGACTGGCTTTTCTGATATTACTAAATAGTGTGCACATTTTCCCTTGTTAAATATGCTTCCAAAACATAATGTTAATGATGGAATAATGTTCCATCATGCAGATGGACCGCAATTTAGCTTCCTACTTATTGTTACTGGACATTTAAAACTGCTGTAAATCTTTGTCAATAAATCTCCATGAATATCCCTGACCTTAGCATAAAGTCCTGGAAATAAGATTGCTGGGTCCAAAGATCTACCCAATTTAAAGATGGACACAATTTCAAGAAGTGAATTGACCTCTAAGATAGTTTATAAATTTATATTCCCACCAGCATTGAAAATGCCTTTTCCCCATGGATTGGTCTACATAAGAGTGTTGGTTAATTTTATGTGTTGACTTGACTAGGCTGAACGATGCCCAGATAGCAGATAAAACATTATTTCTGGGTGTGTTGGTTCTATTTCTCTGGGATCCCAGACTAATACAATCATATATACTTTTTGAGGATGATGATGATAACAACGAATGCCTGCAACAGTGCCTGGCACACAATTGCTCCTCAATAATACTTGATGAATGCATAAAATGTTCTTTGTCAAGTGTCATTAGCACGTGTTGCTGTGGATGACTTTGAAGTAGGCATGACTTGGTGGATGTAGTCACCCTCTCTGGGATGCCTCACTTCTCTTTCCCTTGACCTATTCCAATCATACATATTTTTTGGGGTCCCACATCCATCTTTCCTCTTCCGTCAATGCCTTCTTTGGGCATGCCAGCCCATGGAGTGCTCTCCGACTGGCAGCATCTTGTAGCTTCTGTTTTTAGCACTGTAGACACAACATTATGTGGTCATGCCACTGTTTTTCAGGCTGCTGCGGCACAAGGATGATGTCAAAAATATTATACATAA